ATCCTGTATGCATCCCTGTCGCTGTGACAGATTCTGATCTCAGCAACTGTTTTGATGATTGATTATTGTCACTGTCACCAGCTGCTGGGGGTGGGGAAGGGCAGCACTTTAATCCATTTCTTCCTCTGGCTTTTCACACCCAGTTCATCTTAGGACCTACAGCAAACAGTCCAGATGGCTTGCACACTTGCCCTATAGATAAAGAGATTGGTTGTGTATAGGAGTATGATGGATATCCACCCACCTTGCTGCCCTAGTAGTTGGTAACTACAAGTTACTAGATTTCCTAAGTAATTTGGCCCTTTGGCATTAATCTTCATTCAAAACTTGTATTTTTTAGGCTACCGTTGAACAACTAATGTTTGAAGAGAAGAACAAAGCTCAGAGATTACAGACAGAATTAGATGTCAGTGAGCAAGTCCAGAGAGATTTTGTGAAGCTTTCACAGACCCTTCAGGTGAGGCGTTTGGGGAACCACATACAGAGCACGAAGGCAGTTTTGGGGGACAGAACCTTGCCAATTCCTGACTTGACCACTGGCAGTAGCTAGAGGTTTAGAGACTGGCTGCTCCTACCTCCACCCCAAATGTCTGCCTCATCATTCAGGCCAGAAACCTGGTGTGTTCTTCACACTTGGCCCATTTTTCTTTTTCTCTATACTTTGCCAATTTTGCCTCCTTATGAGTAAAGTATAAACTCCTTAGCATACCATGTAAGACTCTTCCCAACCAGGCCTACCCCTGTATTTTGCTCATCTCTCTGCCTTGTTTTACATTCTCATGTTTAACTGCTTGTGGTTCCTCGCCCACAGTGTGGTCTTCCGTCTGGTAAGCATCCTCCTCTCATCCCCTCCTGACTCCTTTCTTTCAAGGCTCAGCGTAGGTTTATCCATTCCATGGAGCCTTTCTAGGTCCCTGAGCTGGGCTTAAGTGCCCCCTCCCTCTGCCATGCTCCCTTGGGCACTCCATGAATGCCTGTAATGACAAAATGACATTTAGAGTATTGTGCTAAAACTAAGTTTTTTTTCCCAATGGAACTTCAGATTTTTTTTTTTTTTTTTTTTTTGAGCAGAGTCTTGCTCTGTCACCCAGGCTGGAGTGCAGTAGCTCACTGCAGCCTCTGCCTCTTGGGTTCCAGTGATTCTCCTGCCTCAGCCTCCTGGGTAGCTGGGATTACAGGCACACACCACCACACCCAGCTAATTTATGTATTTTTAGTAGAGGCGGGGTTTCACCATGTTGGTCAGGCTGGTCTCAAACTCCTGACCTCAGGTGATCCACCCGCCTCAGCCTTCCAAAGTGCTGGGATCACAGGCGTGAGCTGCCGCACCCAGCCTGGAACTGTGGATTCTTCAGGGTCCGGAGTCAGGTTTCATTTGTCTCCATAATCCCAACACATTACACTTTAAAATCCTAGTCTGGGCCAGGCATGGTGGCTCACGCCTGTAATCCCAGCACTTTGGGAGGCTGAGGTGGGTGGATCACCTGAGGTCAGGAGTTTGAGATCAGACTGACCAATATGGTGAAACCTCATCTCTACTAAAAATACAAAAATTAGCCGCGCATGGTAGTGGGTGCTTGTAATCCCAGCTACTCGGGAGGATGAGACAGGAGAATTGCTTGAACTCGGGAGGTGGAGGTTGCAGTGAGCCGAGATGGCGCCACTGTAGTCCAGCTGGGGCGACAGAGCAAGACTCTGTCTGGAGGAAAAGAAAAAAAAAAGCCGGGTGTGGTGGCAGGTGCCTGTAATCCCAGCTACTTGGGAGGCTGAGACACGAGAATCACTTGAACCCAGGAGGTGGAGGTTGTAGTGAGCCGAGATCACACCATTGCACTCTGGCCTGGGTGACGAGTGAAACTGTCTCAAAAAAAAAAAAAAAAAAATCCCAGTCTGTTACGCAATAGCTTTGGGGAATTATTTTAAAAATTTTAATTGTTCTTGTTGTCTCCCTTTGAAGTGACTGCTACTCTGGTGAGTTAATCTGCTGCATCTCAGCTAAACCAGTCACAGTTCAGAAAATCTAGGCAGGAGCCACCTGTACTTACCTCACCATTGTTTCTCCAGGTGCAGTTAGAGCGGATCCGGCAAGCAGACTCCTTGGAGAGAATCCGGGCAATTCTGAATGATACTAAACTGACAGACATTAACCAGCTTCCTGAGACATGACACCCTGATGGCAGGATTCTAGCCTGCACTTTGGGTTTTTAACTCATCTTTAGAGCAACATTAATTATTATTTAACTCTTAACTGAAGAAAGAGAAGTCACAACAAAAGGAAGACTGGAGAAATGCTTACTTCTAGAGGGAGAAGACTGTGCGGCACAGGAAACAGCAAACGGGCTGATCTGCAGCCCAGAGACCTTCAAATGCAAACACTGATAACGCCAGGCTTGATTCCAACAGGCGTGGGATCAGATTCGGTGATGGAAAAAGTGCTGTTTCCTTGCCTGCTTTCTCCAATATAGATTTTTGGAACACATTTCCCTACCCTAAAGCGACATCCCAGTAGTGTTTGGAATTTTCTGTTCATAGATATTGGAAGAGAATTTGCTTTATCTGTTGTCTAGAGCTCATCAGTAACAGTATTCAGTTAGCAGACAGAAGTGTAGTATGCTGTATGAATATTTTATATTAAAATATGAAGGTTTGGAGCAGGCCATTGGCTACTGACTGTATTTCCCTCACTCAGTACATTTTTGTTTCCCTTTTACCATTTTATCTTGCTTTGGAGGACCTTAAATGCTACTGAAACTTACCTGAGAACCATAGGACTGTGGCAAACAAAACCAATTCAGGAAGTGAATTAATGATGAGGATCTGAAAACTTGGCTAGGGCTATATATACTGGAAGCTGAAGGTTAAAGGAAAAGCACAAGAAACTTGGGAAGCACTTTTTCTGCATACTTAGATGATCTTCATGGGCCCACAGGTACCAGGATAAAGCCGAACTGGTACCATCTACTCTTTTGAAGTGTTTTAGTCTAGTATTGGATCAGTGAAAAACATTAATAAAACAAGCTTTGTCTGAGAACCTCTAGTATACATTTATAAATCTGCTTATTTTTCAACTTGGATCATTAGGCTTACATACTACTTGTTTCAAATGTGTCAAATACAAAAATGGTAACTAGGTTGACAGATATTTTGTATTTTTCTTTTAAGTCCAGACCTGGAATGTAAGGGACAATGCTTATGGAGAGCCAGTTAGAATACTGATCAGTCTGGAAATCTGCCTTGCCATTTTACAAGCATTAGATTCCTTTCCTGTGTGAAGAAAGCCTCTGTGAAACAGGTCTTTGCCATAACTTGATGAAGTGCTACAGAAAGCACAAAGGATTGATTCACGTTCACCAATACCTGCTGAGAGTACTGTCCCAGGAAGATCCACTGGATGGATCATCATCCAGGAGGTTCAAAAGTAAAATGGTTTTCAAATCATTTTTGAGATTGGTTGCATAACAGGTACCTGAAAGAAGGCTTCTGGGAGTTAGTGAACTAGGTAGATTGTTTTGTTCACATAAAGCCACCATCAACTTAAAGTGAATTGTCTGTTATAAATGAGGTCACTATGGACTTGCCCTAAAGATCTTTACTCCTGTACGTCTGTCTTCCATAGGACAAATGATAAGTACTACATACCTCATCTCTTGGGTTATTATTGTAGTCTTGCATTCATGATTATGAATTTAAAAATAAATATTAATTATGGAAATAGTACTAAAGGCTTGCCGCGCATGAAACATTATTTAAATTGGTTTGAAGTCCCTTTATAAAGAGTGCTATATGGTTTAGATAAAGGAAACATATAACTATTGAGTTACAGGGGATTTTATTAATTATAAAATGCAATCAATTTAAATTACGTAGGTTTAAGACTAGTCCCTTGGATAAGCCCCAAGCGAATTTGTCTTCAGATTATTAAAATTAGTGCTGCAAATCAGGGTGGGCAGTTCACAGCCTTTCTGAACTGACTGAACTAGAGCTTGCAGTGAAGTGTTCTGCTGAGACTGAGCACCTTACAGATATTTTTCCCCAGAAGACAGTACTGGGTAATAAAATCATCACAATTAGGGAATGGTTAGTGGTCTCTACTGTGACAAATGCAAACTGCTGGAATTCACTTTATGGAGGAAAATACTGTAGAAAAACCCAAACTGAGACTCTAAGTTTTGTTTAACAATGTGCTTCTGGTATGCAACAAACTACTGTGTCACTGTCCAGGTAGGAAACAATTCTTTCCACTGGGTTTTCAGCGTAAATGGGAACTGATTTAGAAGGTGAAAGAAAAGATCAGTTGGGTTTCTTGAGTGTTCCTGTGCTTATATTCAGTCTGTGCACACATGTTCTCATGCATGTCTAACCTGATTTACCTCTTACCTGTAACCTACCTTATCATGTGGCTTTTAATTGGCAGTCACTCAGCCATTTCTAAGCAGGTATAGTACTACCTTTCAGAACTCACATTGGCAAGTATAAAAAGATGAGTTAAGGCGAAGTGAGGACAAAATCACATTCTGCATACTAACCTATTTCTTTTTCTCTCCCTTTAAGGTGCTAAACCTGCACCTCATGTCCACTCAGTAACAAGTGTTAGGAGGTAGAGCACAGCCTCACTCAGCTCTGGAAGGTAATACAGCCTGTGAGGAAGTGAGCCAGCAGTGGCCTTTGCAATTGTGGATCTTGAGCTCTGCTCTCAGCAGATTTCAGGTGTAACCATTTGTTAACTGTGCTGAAGGTGTGTCCTTAAGAAGAAAGTGTTCACATTAAAAAAGCTGCTGCCGAGTACACTGTGTGGTCTTTTCTTTTGAATCCTAGGTTCTGTCCCTCTCAGAGTCATGTTTCTGGTGCTGCTACTTTAAAACACAGCTCACAGGAATGCCTTGCTCAGATACGGAGAACACTCAACAGGCTCAGGGAGGTTCTGGCCGTGTGCAGTGTGAAATAACCCTGACTCCTTGCTGAACACAACTGTAGGCTTGAGTTATAAAGCACAATCCAAATTTTAAATAAAAACATTTATTCAATAATTATAAAACAAAATATTTAAAAAGATGAACAACCACACCAAAGGTCATCCAAAATGCCTTTTTATAAATTAGATAATGCTACCTGTTTTACAATATGGGTTTAAGCCTTCAGTGGTGTTCACTTCAGGTGTGAGTCAGCTCCTGGTGGTGTCAGAAGTTTACATGATTGCGGATATCATTGATTTGCTTCACCATTTCCCTTATGTGTTCACCCCTGTAAAATTGTAAAGTCACTCACTTTTGGAAATATAATAAACCATTTATATGGATTCTTAAGAATTCAAACTGGTAATGTCGAAATATCTAAGAACTGCTTTGCTAAAATTAACAGCTGAAGGTTTCAGATGGATAGCAATAGTGTTCACTGTTCATTTAAGGTGGCAAATGGTGCAAGTACTGGAAATACTTTTGAACATAATTACTGTAAAATACGTTTGGCCACACAACAAAATCATGTTACTAGAAGGTCATCACTTTCAATCCTCCCATCATAGTCATTTCTTAAGCCCCTATGTATCATGTGGCTCTTGTCCCAGTAATTACTTGACAAGCAAATACCAAGATCCAGGTTTCTATTAAGACAGGTTGACTGGGGCATACTGTAAAGGAAAAACTATCTCACAGTAATAGCTGACTGGAAGTATTTACTTACTCCTCCTTCAGGATGGACTGAATGCACTTCCGCTGGTAGGCACTGAGAGTAATGGTGGGTTTTTGAAGACTCAACACCTTCTCCATCTTTCGCTGCTGATAGTCCTTTTTCATAGTAACCTTAAGTATCAAAATAGATATTTTGGCAGTGGTTTGCCACACATTTTATCTATTTGAATCTGTTCTTTTTACATTTTTGTAAAATTTTCTGTAGAATAAGTGCTTTAAGAAAAATTACCAAATTTAGCTAGTTTGGATCTATTCCTACCTGTTTGATGGCATTGCCCAAATGTCGAAGTTGATCAGGTATCAGCTGTAATTCTTTCTTCATGTCTCGCTCACTATCAGAGAGAACTGGGAGCTCAGAGTGAAAACTGTGAAGTACTTTTTTCATCCTTTAGAAAAGGCAAGCAAACATCTCAAGTTAAGGTCTCTGCTAATTAGGAGAAACATAATCACAAGCTCATAATTCATGAATCTGGTGTCTCTGAAGTAGGCCCCATAAGAAGTGTTAGGGGAGAGCCTCATGTTTTCCCCAACATATTCTTCAGGAGAGGGGGCTCAGTTCAATTTTGTAGGTATGTAAGCACCTGCCAATGCCCATTTTCTTAAATATCACTGTTAGTACCCGAGTAGGTAACTAAATGTTATACAGCCCACTGACCTGTTCATGATATCCTCTTGTTTTTCTTTAGCTTCCTCATATTTGTCAGCTAAACGCTCAGCCATTTCCCGCAGACTTTTCCTAATGATATAAGAAACAAGAGACTCTTGAGGTCCACACCTTGATGTTGAAACCAATTAATGTGGCTCAGCATCTTAGGGTAAGAATATGGTTCCAGTCCTACTGACCTATTGTTTTCTTCTTGTTTTTGACACTTACCTCTCCTCTCGACAATAATTGAGATCTTCTAGTTGTTTCTTTTTTTGGTCACATAATAATTTCACCCTTCAAGAACAAAAAGGAATAGAGTTTACTCAGAAGCCAGGTCTAGGCTATAACACAGCATCAGCTACCAGCCAGGGATCGATGGTTTGTGAGCACAGGACATCATACCTCCGCTGAATCTCCTCCTTGGCCAAGTCCTGTTTGAGAATGTACTGCTCTCTGAACACCTGGGTGGCTCTGCTGAGGAGCTGAAGGCATTCTTCAGGAGGAGGGGCTAGGTCCTTTTCAGAAGCTCTTAAAAACAAAGTTTCTACCTTTATTTTCCTTAGCTGAGTAAAACAACTGAAAATAGACTCAAGTCACAGGTGCTTTGTAAACTTTTTATATTTTTAATTTATTTCTTTGAAATGGAGTCTCGCTCTGTCACCCAGGCTGGAGTGCAGTGGTGCTCTCGGCTCACAGCAACCTCTGCCTCCCAGGTTCAAGCGATTCTCCTGCCTCAGCCTCCCGAGTAGCTGGGATTACAGGTGTCCACCACCCCACCTGGCTAATTATTGCATTTTTAGTAGAGATGGGGTTTCACCGTGTTGGCCACGCTGGTCTTCAACTCCTGACCTCAGGTGATCTGCCTGCCTCGGCCTCCCAAAGTGCTGGGATTACAGCTGTGAGCCACCGTGCCCGGCCTAACTTCTTTTGAGACAAAGTCTTGCTCTGTTGCCCAGGCTGGAGTGCAGTGGTGTGATCTCGGCTCACTGCAACCTCTGCCTCCCAGGTTCAAGTTATTCTCCTGCCTCAGCCTCCCAAGTAGCTGGGACTACAGGCGCATGCCACCACACCCAGCTAAATTTTTTTTGTATTTTTAGTAGAGATGGGGTTTTGCTGTGTTAGCCAGGATGGTCTCGATCTCCTAACCTCGTGATCCGCCCATCTTGGCCTCCCAAAGTGCTGGGATTACAGGCGTGAGCCACCACGCCTGGCCCAGCCTAACTTCTTTTTAAACACTTCCTGTTTATCATTCTCAGGTGCCACTTCCCCCCGTTCCCCATTCACTAGCTGATTAAATATATCCAGTTTCTTCCAAATCCATCACAGTAAAAAGTGTACGAAACAGATGAGGACAGAAAGGATGCACAGTAATTATGAAGACAGAAGAGAACCCATTCATAAAACCGCTATGCCCAAGGTTGCATACTTCAAAAATGCTGGATTGGCAACACTACGTTGCAAAATGCTTCTAATATGCTTTTCAAAGGAATCTGGGGTTTCAGCCAGAACACGGAGGGGAGACTCTGCCACTTCAACATCTTCTCGAGTACAAAGAAGGGGAGGAGACGCTGGATGGACTGTACTTCTGCAAAATAGAGAAGTAAATTGAATTCTACCATGGAGCGATTTACTGTATTACAGGAAAGCAGAAACCACATTAATCCAGAACTTTCAGAATATAAAATAAGGTGTTACTTTTGTAAAAGTGCAAGAATGCATGTTTGCCACCTAGAAAAGGTCACTTTGGGAAGCTACACCCTTATTCTTCCAATGCCCCTAATTTGTCAAAGCATTTCTGACTGCCATTTCTGGTTCTTTTCTAAAAGATTAAGGCAGCACAAACACCTAGCATGCATTCTTGGCAAAGGACTTGAGAGCCAGTTTATAAGCCAGAGCCACAAACATAAATTACTTGTTAGGTTTAGAGTTGATCAAAACCAGTATTAAGCCAGGAAACTGCTGTGTATACCACATTGGTTCTATATAATTTGATTTCTAAAAACTATTCACTCAAGTGCAAATACTCAAACTTCAGAAAGAGCTTAAAAGATCTCACAAACTTTAGCAGCATGGCAACTGATTTACTCTGAAGGCAACAATTCTAATGTGAATGTTTGGTTGGACATGGTGGCTCATGCCTGTAATCCCAGCATTTTGGGAGGCTGAGGCAGGTGGACCACTTGAGGTCAGGCATTCAAGACCAGCCTGGCCAACGTGGTAAAACCCTGTCTCTACTAAAAATATAAAAATTAGCTGGGCGTGGTGGCACACATCTGTAATCTCAGCTACTTGGGTGGCTGAGGCATGAGAATCGCTTGAACCCAGGAGGCGGAGGTTGCAGTGAGCTGAGAACACATCACTGCACTCTAGCCTGGGTGACAGGGTGAGACCCTGTCTCAAAAAAAAAAAAAGAAAAAAAAAGTGAAAGTTCGTCAAATAGCATTACTTTATAGACAACTTGTATTTCAGGGAGCTAGCAGAAATATGATCTGAAAGTATCCAGATAATTGGCTGGGCGCAGTGGCTCACACCTGTAATTCCAGCACTTCGAGAGGCCAAGGTGGGTGGATCACCTGAGGTCAGGAGTTCAAGACCAGCCTGGCCAACACGGCAAACCCTCATCTCTACTAAAAATATAAAAATTAGCTGGGTGTGGTGTGCGCCTGTAATCCCAGCTACTAGGGAGGCTGAGGCAGGAGAATCGCTTGAACCCGGGAGGCACAGGTTGCAGTGAGCTGAGATCATGCCACTGTACTCCAGCTTGGGCAACAGAGCAAGACTCCATCTCAAAAAAAAAAAAAAAAGTATCCAGACAATTAATGTTTATTTTTTCTCTTTGGGATTTATATTTATTCTGAAGTAAGCCAGTGTGACTAGGTTTTATTTTACTAAATGTACTGTGGGTGTTTAGGGGTGGGGGTGGTGTCTAGTGTTTGAAGCTCCAGTGACTTTTGTTTTTGGTACTCATATTCCTGCATTTATATAACTCAGAATGATCTTCCAAGGCTGTTGGAAAAGGAAGACAGTGATTATAGCTTACTTGTCTGACTTCCTTAAAGGAGAAGGACTAAGAGTTCAGCTTTTTTTTTTTTTTTTTTTTTTAAAGACACAGGGTCTTGCTCTCACCCAGGCTGGAGTGCAGTGGCATGATCATGGTTCACTGTAGCCTAAAACTCCTGGGCTTAAGCAATCCTCTCACCTGAGTAGCTAGGACTACAGGTGTGCACCACCATGCCTGGCTAATTTTTTTGTTTTTTGTAGAGATGGGGGTCTCACTATTTTGCCCAGGTTGGTCTCGAACTCAGGGCCTCCCAAAGCATTGGGATTACAGGTGTGAACCACAACTGCACCCAGCCTGAGTTCAGCTTTATTCCAGTTTACATATTCTACAATGTCCCTCAGGCTGGCAGAGATGGAGAAATTAAAGAGTATGAGTATGGACTTCTGAGTCAATGAGATCTGCATCTGTATCCCAACTCTATTTTGTTACCTGTGATTTTAGCATTTACTAACCTCTTGATCCCTGCTTCTACTCTTATAAAATGGAAATGACAGAACTGTCCTTACAGGGCTGCCCTGATGATTCCAGGAGGCAGTACAGGCACATGGCTTACTTCTGAGCTTGGCACATGGTCACAGCTTGAGAATTGTTACTCATATTGATAATGGAATTTGGTATTCAATTTTAGTATTTTTTTCCCCACACTCTGAAGAAAAGCTCCCGACTCTCAGCGAGGTGCAGGAGATGCCAGAAACCATGCCTAAAATGAAACCTTACAGACATGGCAGGAACAGAAATATCTGTCCTTCCAACCCTCAAGTCAGAAGCCAAAGCATAAACCACACTTTTGTATAGCTTCAAGTTGGTTACTGAGTGCATTTTCTCAACTGCAGAATTAGTGAGAGCTGTGCGGAGAATAGAAAATGGACGTACAGTAAAGGCCTGACGAGGCATTCATAGGTACTGGTGACGCAGAGCATCGTGGGGCCCAGAATGTCAGGGACAATCCAAAATCCTCGAATTGGAGCCGGATGCCTGGAAAAACACAGTCATAGTTAAGTTACAAAGCAGCAAATGCAATGGAACCAAGAACAAAGACATGACAGGTCATGGCCTTCTCAGGCCTGGGCTGACAGTTGCCTGGGACATCCTGTCAGTACCATAACCTCAAAAGTGGTGGCCTGGAAACCTTTCATACAGCCCTACACTAAAGTCTAGAGCCCATGTCACTAAGTCACTCAGGAATCCCTAACTGTAGAGTGGTGCTGACTGTAATCTCAAAAGTTACACGCTCCACTGAAGATCTGTCTGTCTCTCCAACTTGCACATAAGCCCCAGCTATCTAGCCCACTTCTAACAAATTAAGTGCTTACAAACTGTTGAATGAACAGAGCTACCGAGTCTGTCTCAATGAGGCCTGACGTCAATGTCACAGGAAATCATTTAGCATGCACAGCCTGCATCTCTCTCTCAATCTTCCTTCCCACTTCAGTGAAGACACTGGAAACTGAGACCTCAGATGGGAACTGTCAATCTGCCAACATGCTCTCCTAGCGGCTCCCACGCCCATCCCACCTGCATGCCTACAACACGCAACTGCCCCTGAATGCGGATGTCGCCTCCGCTCACACCTTCTGAAAATTGTACCATTAACTGTGTCGTTTCAGAATCTCCCTATTATCTACTTCCCCTCAGCTTGCAAACTCATGTCTCTTCCATTTCAAATACTCCCATTTCAATATAATGTCCAGTTCCCCTTAACTGATTCTTTCTCTCCATCCCTTTAGAACCAGCAGTCGACACACTAGTTCCCCTTCCATAGCTCCCATTTACTTTTTTGGCATCTAGAAGGTTGTAAACTTTTTATTATCAGTGTGAAATCTACACATTACTGGGCTATATACTATGTATTCAGTATCCAGGTCAAGAATCAGGACACTGCAGGGGCTTTAGGGCTCCCATGTGACTTTCCCTGGTCATAGCCTTTCACTCCCCAGAGAAGTAGCTACTACTCTGACATTCATAATACCGTGTCTTTGCTTTACAGTTTTCCTATGTATTCATTCCTAGGCAGGAATGTTTAATTTTACCTGTTTCTGAAATTGATATAAATAGGATTTTGGGGTTTTTTGGAGACAGGGTCTCACTCTGTTGCCCAAGGCTGGAGTGCAGTGGTGCGATCACAACTCACTGCAGCCTTGACCTCATGGGCTCAAACAATCCTTCCACCTCAGCCTCCTGAGTTGCTGGGACCACAGGTACATGCTACCACACTGGCTAATTTTTTTTGTTTGTTTGAGATGTAGTCTCACTCTGTTGCCCAGGCTGGAGTGCAATGGTGCAATCTTGGCTCACTGCAACCTCCACCTCCCAGGTTCAAGTGATTCTCCTGCCTCAGCCTCCTGAGTAGCTGGGATTACAGGCGCCCGTCACTACACCCAGCTAATTTTTTTTGTTTGTATTTTTAGTAGAGACGGGGTTTCAACATGTTGACCAGGCTGGTCTCGAACTCCTGACCTAGTGATTTGCCTGCCTCGGCCTCCCAAAGTGCTGGGATTACAGGCTTGAGCCACCGCGCCTGGCCTCACCTGGCTAATTTTAAAATTTTTTGCAAAGAAAGGGTCTCGCTATGTTGCCCAGGCTGGTCTCAAACTCCTGGCCTCAAGTGATCCTCCTGTCTCACCCCACCAAAGTGCTGGGATTATAGGTGTAAACTACCATGCCCAGCCTACATGGGATTTTATTATTTTCCCTGTTCACTTTTTTTTTTTTTTGAGATGGAGTCTCATTCTGTCACCCAGACTGGAATGCAGTGGTGTGATCTCGGCTCACTGCAACCTCTGCTGCCCGGGTTCAAGCAATTCTCCTGCCTCAGCCTCCAGAGTAGCTGCGATTGCAGGCACCTGCCACCGTGCCCAGCTAATTTGTGTAGGTTTTAGTAGAGACTGGGTTTCACCATCTTGGCCATCTTGAACTCCTGACCTTGTGATCCACCTGCTTCGGCCTCCCAAAGTGCTGGGATTATAGGCGCAAGCCACCGTGCCTGGCCAACTGTTCACTTTTCAAGCTGGTACAGTTTGCTATCCTTCTTGTGCCCCACCAAGCGTTTTTCCTGTGGTGCTCTGTATTGCCAAACCTAGACTATGTCTATTTCTTAGTGTATGCTATTTGTCTCATGTTTGTGTATACTCGATGTCTGAATGCTTAGAGACATCCAGTAATTGATGAACAGAATAAAGGGAGGTATCTAGAATACCTTCCAGGTTTCTACTGGGGATAACTGGGCTGATATGGCACCCTTCAGAAAAATGGGACGTAGGAGAGAGACTTTTGGGGAGACAGAAGATGAGTTAAGGGGACATGTGGAGTTTTATGTTCCTATAGGGTATCTGAGTGGAGGAGCCCAGTAGGCATCTGGATATGTGAATCTGGAGTTCAGAGTGGTCTGGGCTGGGGCGATATGGATGTGGAAACTGTCAGCACTGAAGCCATGATTATGGCAAAAGATACTCAGGAAAGGACCTAGAAAGAATAGAGAAGACCCGAGGAAAGAGTTGTGAGCATCACTTGTAAGCAGTAAGTCGAGGCAGAGGAACCAGCCTAAGAAGGAAACTTGAGAAAAGGACTGCTGGAGGGACTGAAGGAGAACCTGGAGGGACAGACGTCAAGGATGCCAAGAAGAGTGTGTTTCAAAGAGGAGACACAGGCAACCTCATCAAATAAACACAGCAATGCAGTGAAGGGCAGGCAGACTCTGCTCTCATGAAACATATACATCCCAGTAGTGGTGACAAGCATTAAAAAAATGCAAATATAAATAGTATAATATGTGCTACAAGGGATAAGAGAACAGGAGGGCCCTAAGTTAGACTGGGCAGTCAAGGGTGTTCTCTGTGAAGAAGTGACATTCAGATGAGAAAGAAGGGTACGAGTTAGCCAAGACATGACAGCAAGCTGGGGCTGGGGCTGGGGAAGGACCTTCCAGTCAGGAAACAGTATGTGGAGTGGCCCTGGAGCAGGAGAAAGCTTCTGATGAGCAGGACACTCTTAGGGGAGAAGTATCATGTCTGCAACTTTCAAATGATTCAGCAGTGAATACTGCGGACGTGAGTGTAATGGATACGCACGTATCTGAACTGCTGAAATGAACAATTGTTTTCTGATACACAAGGGAGGGAGAATCCTTACCTGCAGGGCAATGGCTTCGTACAAAGGATGTGTTCAACAAAGCATTTCTGTTCTGTAGAGAGTTCCTGTAAACTATCCTTATCTTCTTCATCTACCACAGAAGACATTATATAGATGAAATGACGCTTAGACAAGTCTCAAATTAAAACGCTCATGATATTGGGTTAAATGCAATTAAGTTCTTGTCTGGAAACACTGCTTCTCAAATACTATGCTTTTCTGACACAGGCATGTGCTTTCCCAGGGGGTCTAGATTTCCGCCCCAAGAAGCAAAGTAGGATTTTCCTTGGTAATGTCTCTAAATGCAAAAATGTTTCACTAAGAAGAATGAGATCATTCTCTTCCAGGCTGTTCCTTACCCACACTGATTTTATTTCCATACAAATATGGAAATAATGCTTTTTCCATAATGCTTGGGATCAGAAGTGTTTCAGATTTCATATATATATATATTTTTTATTTTGGAATATGTGCATTATACTTAGTAGTTGAACATCTCTTACCTGAAAATCTAAAATCCTAAATGCTCCAATGAGCATTTCTGTTGAGTGTCATGACAGCACTCAAAAACTTTTGTAGCTCACTCAGGTTCAAGGATGGAAAAAAGAGTTTTGGATTTCAAATTTTCAGAGTAGGGTTACTCAATCTGTAACAGGTTTTTTCTTTTTTTTAATGAAATCTCCCCCTGTTGCCCAGGCTGGAGTGCAGTGGCCCAATCTCTGCTCAATGCAACCTCTGCCTTCTGGATTCAAGTGATTCTCCTGCCTCAGCCTCCTGAGTAGCTGGGACTACAGGTGGATGCCACCATGCCCGGGTTTAAGTAGTAGACAGGGTTTCACCATGTTGGCCAGACTGGTCTCGAACTCTTGAACTCAGATGATCTACCTGCCTCAGCCTCCCAAAGTGTTGGGATTACAGGTATGAGCCACCACACCTGGCCTGTAACAGCTTTTTGAAATGTAATTCACAGTACCATACAAGTCATCCATTTAAAGTATACCCATTAAAGTATACAATTCAGTAAGTTTCTAGTGTAAGAACTGTATGCCTGGCTGGGTGCAGTGGCTCATGCTTGTAATCCCCAGCACTTTGGGAGGCCAAGGTGCGTGGATCACCTGAGGTCAGGAGTTCAAGACCAGCCTGGCCAACATGGCGAGACACTGTCTCTACCAAAAACACAAAAAATTAGCTGGACATGGTGGGCACCTGTAGTCCCAGCTACTCAGGAGGCTGAGGCAGGAGAATCGCTTCAACCCAGGAGGCGGAGGTTGCGGTGAGCCGAGAGTGCACTCTTGCACCACACCCTGGCCAAAAAGAGTGAAACTCCTTCTCAAAAGAAAAAACAAAAAACAAACAAAAAAATTGTATACCTATCATAACAATTTGGAATATTTTCATTTTCCCAAAAGAAATCCACATAACCATTAGCAATCACTCCTCAGTTTCTACCAAACTTTCCAGACCTAGGCAACTAATCTACTTTCTGTCTCTGTAGATCTGTCTATTCTGGACATCTCATATAAACAGCCATACAGTTATTTGTGACTGGCTTCTTTCACTTAGCATCTGTTCACAGTTCATCCATATTGTGGCATGTATCAGTACTTCATTCCTTTTTATTGTTGAATAATATTCTGTTGTATAGACATACCACATTTTATCTATCCATTCATCAGCTTATGGACACTTGGGTATGTGGCTTTTGGGCTATGATGAATAATGCTGCTATGAACACTCATGTACCAGTATTTGTGTGGATACAGGTCTTCATTTCTCTTGGAAATATACTCAGGACTGGAACTATCAGGTATGTGGTAAATGAACAATCATTTGAGGAACTGCCAGATTGTTTTCCAAAGTGACTGTACCATTTTACATTTCTATAAGCACTGTATAAAGGTCATTTTTTTCTACATCCTCAACACGTGTTAATGTCCATCTTTTTCATTTTAGCTATACTAGTAGATATGACATGATACCTCATTGTGGTTTTGTGGTATCTTATTTCCATAATGACTAATGATGTTGTATATCTTTTTATAGATATGCTATTTGCCCAACTGTATTGAATGCTAAGGGTTCTTTATATTGTTCTCCATACGAGTCCATTATCACACAAATATTTTCTCCCATTTTGTGGGCTGTTTTCCCTTTTCTAATAGTATCCTTGAAGGAAAAAAAGTTTTAAATTTTGATGGCCAGGTGCGGTGGATCACACCTGTAATCCTAGCACTTTGGGAGGCCGAGGCAGGTGGATCATTTGAGCCCATGAGTTTGAGACCAGCCTGGGCAACATGGTGAAACCCCATCTCTACAAAAGACACAAAAATTAGCCAGGCATGGTGGCTTACTCTTTTAGTCCCAGATACTTTGGGGGCTGAGGCAGGAGCATTGCTTGAGCCCAGGAGTTCGAGACTGCAGCAACCTATGACTGCACCACTGCACTCCCACCTAGACACCGTGTTAGCCAGGATGGTCTCGATCTCCTGACCTTGTGATCCGCCCACCTTGGCCTCCCAAAGTGCTGGGATTACAGGCGTGAGCCACCGCGTCCAGCCTTTTTTTTTTTAAAGCAAATTCTTCCAGACCCTGATTGAGTCAGTTTTGGTATTTTCTTTCTTGAAATTTGTCCATTCCATCTAGATTATGTAATGGCATACATTTTGTTCATAATATTCCCTTATAATCTTTTATTTCTGTAAGTTCAATATTAATATCCCTGCTTTTATTCCTGATTATAGTTAGTCTAGCTAAAGGCTTGTCAAATGTCGTTGATCTTTTCAAAGAACCTTTTGGTTTCACTGATTTTCTCTATCATTTTTCTATTCCAAACTACTTTTCTGAAATTTATTAAATCTATTTTTCCTCTGAAATCTATTAAAAGTGCAGAGAGTTAGTAAACTCACCTGATCCAAGAAATTTGTGAAGTTTATGAATCCAAGTTAGCCCAACACTATGTACACCAGCTTCATGAGTACAGTGATATCTTGAAGGACACTTGGGATCTGCAAATGGAATAATTAATGATACAAAAGTAGCCATTGGATAATTAAAAAAATTTACCTCAAATTTGTTGGCTACCCCACAGTAGCCTATGAACACATTTGTTGATGCAAGGTTTTATAAAAGGCTTTCCTATTGTTAGGGGTTTTGAAATTTTAAAATTTGAATTCAAATTTCGAATATATTTAAGTACAGATATACCTCAGAGATACTGTGGGTTTGGTTCCAGACCATTGCAATAAAGTGAATATAGAAATAAAGTGAGTCACACAAATCATTTGGTCTCCCAGTACATATGAAAGTTGTGTTTACACTATGCAGAAGGTTATGTTTATACTAGTAGGTACGCAACAGCATTACGTCCAAAAATATGTACACACCTTAACCATTTTTTATTGCTAAAAAATGCTGACGCAGAGACACAGTGAGCACATGCTGTGTGAAAATGGTGCTGATAGCCTTGCTTGATGCAGGGCTGCTGCAGCTTTCATTTGTTTAATAATAATAATTAAAAAAAAAGCACTATCTGTGAACCACAATAAAATGAGGAGGTATGCCTGTATTCTGAAAAGTATAAAAAATGGCTGGGCATAGTGGCTCACGTCTGTAATCTCAGAACTTTGGGAGGCTGAGGTGGGTGGATCATGAAGTCAGGAGTTCGAGACCAGCCTGACCAACACGGTGAAAACCCGTCTCTACTAAAAATACAAAAATTAGCCAGGTGTGGTGGCAGCCGCCTGTAATTCCAGCTACTCAGGAGGCTGAGGCAGGAGAATTACTTGAACCCAGGAGGCAGAAGTTGCAATGAGTGCCGGGCGCGGTGGCTCAAGCCTGTAATCCCAGCACTTTGGGAGGCCGAGACGGGCGGATCACGAGGTCAGGAGATCGAGACCATCCTGGCTAACACGGTGAAACCCCGTCTCTACTAAAAATACAAAAAACTAGCCGGGCGAGGTGGCGAGCGCCTGTAGTCCCAGCTACTCGGGAGGCTGAGGCAGGAGAATGGCGTAAACCCGGGAGGCGGAGCTTGCAGTGAGCAGAGATCCGGCCACCGCACTCCAGCCTGGGTGACAGAGCGAGACTCCGTCTCAAAAAAAAAAAAAAAAAAAAGAAGTTGCAATGAGTGAGCCGAGATTGCACCACTGCAATCCAGCCTGAGCGACAGAGTAAAACTCCGTCTCAAAAAATAAAAAAATAAAAAAACGCAATCTGAATGTTATTTTCTAAATATGAACACAAGAGGTTCACCAAAACATAAATACTTGCTGTCAAGTAACTCGTTTGTGCTTTTCTCTGTGCATTTATTTAGTTCTTCAAAAGAAAATGGTGGTTAAAATGGCAGCTCTGTAGAAAACCTATGTTTGTATACATCGACTTAAATAAAATTGTTGAAGCAAATGCACTCCTACAGCATAGGTATCACAAAAGACTTTAACACAACGGCTCAGGGAACAGTTCTATCAGTGTACTAAGGCGTGAAATGAGAAGTGAAGTTTAGTATGTCTTCATAATGTTGACTGACAGATAGTTTTAAAGGTTATTTTCAGTTTGGGATGCTCTTTTTGTTTGACAATCATTTATAACTAAAAAGTATGAGTAGTTGTTACACAATTTTAATTAACTGGTTTTGAAACAAATATTTCTGTACCTCCTTTGAGCCCCAGTATCAGTGAGACAATCCTGAGACTAAAAGATAAGCTATTGAATACTTATTATTATGTATATTTATCTCTGTAACTCATGATTTTTATTATTAATATTAATAATGTTACTGGCCGGGTGTGGTGGCTCACACCTGCAATCCCAGCTACTCGGGAGGCTGAGGCTGAGGCAGGAGAATTGCTCAAACCCGGGAGGTGGAGGTTGCGGTGAGCTAAGATTGCGCCACTGCACTGCAGCCTGGGCAACAAGAGTGAAACTCCATCTCAAAAAACAGACAGACAAAATAATAATGTTATTAAAGTAAAAATAAAATACAGAGATAAGGTATATATTGAAGCTGATAAAATGGCACAATAACCCATAAAACCCCTAGATTAAATTTTCCTTTAACAGTCTCACTTTGTGATTAGTGACTTTATCATATATTAATGTTCTAAAGCTGATACATTATTTTTCTGTCTTATATATTGAGATTCCATAAAACATCTTAGAAAACAGCATTCTGCTATAAAAAGTTTAAAAAACCTTCGTCTATGGGAATCATCTATCTGTTTGAATAATTAAAGTATTGAAAATTTTCTTTTCATTTGCCCGTATTTTAAGACTTAAGGCTCAAATCATCTCATCAAATCTAACATTGTTAAAATGACTTTTCAAAACCTGTAGTGCTAACATCAACAGAAAAATCTTAATACTGGGGTGTAAAACAAATTGATTACTAAAAAGAGCCAACATTTAGTTAACAGGAAATCTGTTAGACACTATCACTTTGTCACTAAGAAATCTGGTGTGCCTCAGTGATTATAATATGCCTTGTTCAGCACAATTATGAACAAGGCAAAAATTTCTTAGTTTCACATATGAAAATGTTACTCTCATTAGAAGAACCAAGAAAAGGCTGGGCATGGTGGCTTATGCCTAAAATCCCAGCACCGCGGGAGGCCAAGGCGGACAGATAAGGAGTTCGAGACCAGCCTGACCACCATGGTGAAACCCCATCTGTACTAAAAATACAAAAATTAGCCAGGCGTGGTGGCGCATTCCTGTAATCCCAGCTACTTGGGAGGCTGAGGCGGGAGAATCGCTTGAACCTGGGGGGCAGAGGTTGAAGTGAGCCGAGATCGTGCCACTGCACTCCAGCTTGGGCAACAGGAGCAAAACTCCATCTCGAAAACAAACAAACAAACAAACAAACAAACAAACAAAAACAAAAACCCAAGAACAAAATGTCTACATCTACACTTAAGATTTCCCAAAGATATATGTATCTATATGAGGAAACCAATTAGTTTCTGTCACTTTACTTCATTTGGTCTGTTTCCTCATCTATAAAATTCTTAGACAACAGAAATCTCAAAATACCTTAATTAGACAAACCCAATGTACGCTCTTTGCTGGTTTGTTATGTAAGGAATTCTACCCCCTTAAATATTTTGGCTATACTTTAGTATAGAGTTGAGGCCAAAACTAGGCAAACTGGCTAACAAGAACTGTAAGGAGAATAGGTCAAATTGCTACAAGATTGAAATCCTCCTATGTTGCAGTGAATGACACGATTTCATTCTTTTTTAAAGCCAAATAGGGCTGGGCATGGTGGTTCACACCTGTGGACCAGCACTTTGAGAGGCCGAGGTGGGAGGATCACTTGAGCTCAGGAGTTTGAGCTTGGATGACATGGCAAAATCCCATATGTACCAAAAATACAAAAATTAGGCGTGTAGTCCCAGCTACTCCAGAGGCTGAGGTGGGAGGATTGTTTGAGCCTGGGGGGTGAAGGTTGCAGTGAGCCAAGATCACACCACTGTACTCCAGTCTAGGTGACAGTGAGATCATTATCTCACACACACACACACACACACACACACACAAAAGCCAAATGGTATTCCACTGTGTATATACACCACATTTTAAAAATCCATTTGGGGCCGGGCACGTGGTGGCTCACATCTGTTATCCCAGCACTTTTGGAAGGCTGAGGCAGGTGGACTACTTGAGGCCAGGAGTTTGAGACCAGCCTGGCCAACATGGTGAAACCCCACCTCTACTAAAAATACAAAAATTGTCAGGCGTGGTGGCTCACGCCTGGAATCCCAGCACTTTGGGAGGTCGAGGTGGATGGATCACGAGGTCAGGAGTTCGATACCAGCCTGGCCAATATGATGAGACCTTGTCTCCACTAAAAATAAAAAAATTAGCAGGGCGTGATGGCACGTGCCTGTAGTCCCAGCTACTAGGGAGTCTGAGGCAGAAGAATCGCTTGAACCCAGGAGGCAGAGGTTCCAGTGAGCCGAGATCGCGCTACTGCACTTCAGCCTGGGCAACAGAGCGAGACTCCGTCTCAAAATAAATGAATAAATAAAATAAAAATAAAAATAAAAATACAAAAATTAGCCAGGCATGGTGGTGGATACCTGTAATCCAGCTACTTGGGAGGCTGAGCCAAAATAATCGCTTGAACCTGGGAGGTGGAGGTTGCAGTGAGTCGAGATTGCGCCACTAAACTCCAGCCTGGCTGATAGAGCCAGACACCGTCTCAACAACAACAACAACAACAACAACAACAAAAATCCATTTGGTCTGTTGATGGACACAGGTTGATTCAACATCTTAGCTATTGTGAATAACACTGCAATGGGCATGGCAGTGCAGGTATCTCTTCAACCTATTATTTCCTTCCCTTTTGACATATCCAGTAGTAGAACTACTGAATAATATGGTAGTTCTACTTTTGATAGGACCAGGAAAAATTCACTATTAGGAATCTGGGTGATCTGGACCAAAGACCACTATTTTAAAACTTGGAAATTTGCTCAGTCTGCCTTAGACAAAATGTGTACTATAGTGACTAAAAGGCTAAAAAAACCCAGTCAACTTTTTTTTTTTTTTAGGCGGAGTCTCGCTCTGTCGCCCAGGCTGGAGTGCGGTGGCGCGATCTCGGCTCACTGCAAGCTCCGCCTCCCGGGTTCCCGCCATTCTCCTGCCTCAGCCTCCCGAGTAGCTGGGACTACAGGCGCTCGCCACCTCGCCCGGCTAGTTTTTTGTATTTTTAGTAGAGACGGGGTTTCACCGTGTTAGCCAGGATGGTCTCGATCTCCTGACCTCGTGATCCGCCCGTCTCGGCCTCCCAAAGTGCTGGGATTACAGGCTTGAGCCACCGCGCCCGGCCCCAGTCAACTTTTTAAAGGCTGGAACCACAGAACAAACACATGACATAGGAACAGTCTATGATAGTCTTACTATAAAAATCATGGGAAGAAAGCACTACATTTATTGAAGAGCTTACCTCTATGAAGTTTGATTGGACAAGAAAAGTCAGAATCAAAAGGGTCATCCTCTCCAGATGCCAGTTTCAAAGCAAGCTCCAACTCAACACATTCAAACACATACAGAGAAGGAATGAGGTCAATCCTGGAATCCCAGGACTTTTCTGACTGTAAAAAAAAAAAAAGTGTTGTAATTTTGATCTTGCATGTTAATTTGAAAATGTACACAATTAAAAACAGGCAAAAAGCTGGGTCAGGGCCAGGTGCGATTGTTAATGCCTGTAATCCCAGCACTTTGGGAGGCCAAGGTGGGTGGGTGGATCATCTGAGGTCAGGAGTTCAAGACCAGCCTGGCCAACATAGTGAAACCCTGTCTCTACTAAAAATAAAAATTAGCCGGGCATGGTGGTGGGTGCCTGTAATCCCAGCTACTCGGGAGGCTGAGGCAAGAGAATCGCTTGAACCTGGGAAGCAGAGGTGGCAGTGAGCTGAGATCATGCCACTGCACTCCAGCCTGGGCACCAAGAGCGAAACTCCGCCTCAGAAGAAAAAAAAAAAAAAGAAGCTGGGTCAAACAGCGCTTTCAAATTCTTAATTCCACCTCTATCCTAACAGTGCACTGCACTGTTATTCTGAAGAGATAACATCTCTCTTCCTTTAAGAAGATGTTTGTGAAAAAAGCCGATGCAGTGATTCCAAGGCTCTTTGTATCTGTCCCTGAAGATTGCAATATAGAGATCAGAAAGTAACACGCAGATGGGTGGACCAAGTAAGTTGGGCAACCTTCTAACTTCTTTCCACTTAGATTGCTAAGAGTGCCTCAGCTACTTTTTTAACTGTTTAATTTCCAAAATATCAGAAGTTCCATAAATAAGTTAAAATTCCTTCTCATATATTAAGCATTCATATTGGGTCAGGAAGTGTTCCAGGTATCGAAGATACAAACACCCACAGCAGCCTGCACTTACTGCTTGGTCATCTTCTTCTTCCCCTTCTAGCACGACACAGTGATACAGCATTCCTGATTCAGTGGCGATCACTAAGATATTGGGGACACAGGGTAAGCAGAGGATAGCACAAGCATCATAACCATAGTTATCTTCAGCCGCAGGATGCATGGGCAACGGACCCAACAGCTTTCCAATATTTCCAGGGCTAAAGAAGGAGTAAAAACATATTTGGGAAATGTTGACAATAAGCTTGCTCACCCCATAAAACCATTCTTTGACTTTGTTTTCCTCCAGCTATCATACCCTCATTATAAATGTAGGATATTCCCAATACTCCACCTTCTCGCTTTCCCACTCAGATTCTACTGCTCTGGTGTTTCTCAACCAGAGACAATTTTGCCCTAGAGGACAATGGCAATGTCTGAAGACATTTTGGCTTGTCACAACTGGTTGTCACAATGTGCGGGGAGGTATTGGCATCTAGTGGTTAGAGGCTAGAGGCTGCTAAACACTCCCCTACAGCACAGCACCTCTAAAACAATAATTTAGACCAAAATGGCAATAGTACAGAGGCTGGAAACCCTTGCCCTAAATTTGCTATGGTTTATGCTTTCACCACTCCACTGAAGCCACTGTGGCAAAGGTCACCTGCAAGATTTGCTAAATCCAAAAGGCACTTAACCTTCTGCTGCATTTATCACTGGTTAACAATTACTGCTACTCAATATCCTTAACAGCTATAACAATTCTTTCTTATAGTTCTCTCTTCCTACCTCTTTAAAGACAATTTTCTAATGTCCTTTTCTAATTTCTTTCTCTTAAATATTGGTGTTCTCCAGGATTCTGTTGTATGCTTTGACTTTTTTCAAAACACACACTTAAATGAGAGCTTATTAAACTATGCCTCATTTTAACTACCATCTATATTCCAAGACTACCAAATCCTTTCTTCTGAAATGTAGCTTCTCTTCAAGGCTTTGGATCCCTATACTAAATCTGATTTGACAAATACTTATTATTGAGTGCCAGATGATTCTCCCAGTGAATGACTGTTTAGTTGATGAGGCAGACATTTAACTAGAATTAGTATACCATGTGATAAGTGCAAGAACAGAAGGATTTATGGTGTACAAAGGAATGACAAAAAGATACAAAGATAATGAAGAAAGCTATCAAAAACAAATAAGAAAAATAGAGAAAGAATGATTTCTGGGAAGGGGGTTGTTGAGCAGCTTATGCAAAGTCCTGGAAGCATGAAAGACAAGGAATTAAGAAGAAGAAAACTTATTTAGTATGATAGGAGGCAAAGTACAAGGTCTAAAGCAATGGCAAAACAGCTAGACAGACATCCAGGACTGGCTTATGAAGTACATCATCTTGGATGCCATGTTAAACTATTCAGTCTGCTGGGTAACAGTGTATCACTAGAGGTTTAAATCAAGTAATGGAACTTCACTTTACAAATCAATCTGGTATTAGGGAGGAAGACATGGAAGGGTCCAAAATGGGATCTAGGGAAACTATTTAAGAAAATAACCTAGGCAGATGATGAAGTTCTGATGCACGGACAACGGAATGGAGAGAAGGGTGTATAACCAGGGGCACCCAATCTTTTGGCTTCCCTGGGTCACACTGGAAATTGTTTTGGGCCACATAGAAAATACACTAACAATAGGTGATGAGCTTTTTTTTAAAAAAAAAAAAAAAAAAAAGAGGCCGGGCGCGGTGGCTCAAGCCTGTAATCCCAGCACTTTGGGAGGCCGAGACGGGCGGATCACGAGGTCAGGAGATCGAGACCATCCTGGCTAACACGGTGAAACCCCGTCTCTACTAAAAAAATACAAAAAACTAGCCGGGCGAGGTGGCGGGCGCCTGTAGTCCCAGCTACTCGGGAGGCTGAGACAGGAGAATGGCGTAAACCCGGGAGGCGGAGCTTGCAGTGAGCCGAGATCGCGCCACTGCACTCCAGCCTGGGTGACAGAGCCAGACTCCGTCTCAAAAAAAAAAAAAAAAAAAAAAGAAAGAAAAGAAAATCGCAAACAAATCTCATGATGTTCTAAGAAAGTTTACGAAGTGTGTGGGCTGCATTCAAGGCTGTCCTGGGTTGTGCACAGTCCGTGAGTTGGACAAGCTTGGTGTATACTTCCAAAAAATTTTAATCACAAAATCCACAGAAATTTGGGACTTTGATCAGTCCCAAATGTAAGGATGAAGATAACTTTTGGGTTTTGGGCTAAGGTTACTAAGCAGATCATGGTTTGGACAAATGAGGGCTCAGCAGTAAGAGGAGAAGGGGTAAGGGAAGGTACTAACGTTACCACAAAATCCTCCTGAGCTCATGTGTGAAAGGCAGAAAACATTTCTGCAAGGCGAATGCACTCAATAGTGAATCCTCACCATTCTGTAACCTGTCAAGCTCTTTCATCTTTCTTATCTTTATGGTTTTGCATACTTTCTTCTCTCTTCTGTACCCACTTCCGACTGTCTAGTGAATCCTTCAAGTCCAAGCTTTTGTCATAGCATTTCCTCAAAGTCTTCCAACATCAGCAGGTCTACTCATTTACTCCATCACACTCCTGAAGAACCCGGTGATGCCCTGAGCACATGACACTGTACTATAGTTACTGGTTTAGTTGTATGCCCTTCTGATAGATAAGGAACTACATGGTAGGAATGTTGCCTTCAATCTTGTATTTCCATCTTCTGCCACACAGTGGGCCCTGAATAAGTATGTTAAGTCGATTTATAAGCAAATAAACTCTAATGCTCAGTCCTTAGCCTTATGCCTCTGCAGTTTTCCCTCAAATTCTTATCCTGTATAGACTCTCTCACCATGACAGATGATTCTCATACCTCTATTTTAATTCTTCTTGTCTCTCATCATCCTGTATTTCCAACTGTCCATGGAATATTTCCATTTTATTGGTCCAATACTATCTTACACTGATTTACTTAAAAATAAAGTTTCTCCCCCAATTAGCTGCCTTTACTGACCTGTTTCTGTTCATGGCATACTCCCTTATCCAAACAGTAACTAAGTCTTATTTATCCTTCCTTTGTTGCTATCTACTGTGTTTAATTTTTCTCTCTGTTCTACTACCACCCAAGTTCAAACTCTCATAAATTATAAGCTCAATTTTGCAAAAGCTTCTTTAAAAGTCTCTGTCCCAGTCCCTTTCCTAACCAACTGTTTTGTCCTTCTGCTCAGAAACCATCACTGGCTTCCTACTACCCTATTCCTACAGAAAAAAAAAATCCACACTCACTCTTTAAAGAGGTATTTTTAATGCCAGCGAATTTTCTCAGGGCAGATACTTCTAGCTTTATCACAATGCTCCCTACATGAATCCTCAGCTGTAGCCCAGAATGTCTAATAAATGAAGCTTGAATGACACTTGCACTTGCTTATTTTTAGACTCTACTTTATGCTGCCCTTGACAGAAATGCTTTCACCCTTCCTTGATACTTCATTTAATCCTGAATGAACCCTCTAAGTCACACATGACATCGCTGCTTCTCTACAAAAATTTCCTCAACCTCGCAGTCAGAATGACCTCTCCTTCCTCTGGTTCTGACTGTCTGTGTACCAATACTGTGGTATACATAGTATTTTTTCATGTGTATGTATCTTTCTCCCCACAACTGGGACATAAATACCAGATTACCATGTCAACATGGTGCCTTGTTCATATAAGATAAACCATAAGCACTTGTTCAGATAACTAGAATTTGTGAACACAAATCCAGGCCTATCATAAGTGATTATCCAAGAATTCTATAGAACTTACCCAAATAACATGAAGAAATGAGAGGCCAAATGATCTGTACTAACCCTTTCTCAAAAAGATGCAAGCCAAGCATCGGAAGGCTGCAACATTTCCACAGACTCAAAAACATGGCTCCCGAGTCCAGCCTCAACGATCTCTACTGGAGCCCAAGCTGAGTTTTCATTTCAGGTGGGTGACCGCCACAACTCACCTGTGTAACAGACTGATGTATGTCAGGAAAGTCTCTCCATTCTCATATAAGATGTACAGTGGGTATGCCACTACTTCGTCTTTGCCTTTTTGTCCAAATAGAGTCTTTGGGACTGCCGCCAATGGCCCAAAGTCAAATGCCACTGCTGTCTCTCCTAGAGATGCAGTATATGCCCTTCTGGAAAGAGATGTAAAAACCAACTTGTTAAAAACAAAAACAACAAAAAATAAAAATAAAAAAAAACAAAACAAAACCACAAAATAATAATAGGAGGTAGGTATATACAGCATTTGTAGGCAATGGATTAAAAAGACAAAAAATGATTATGAAGAAGGTTAACATTTAAACATTCTCAGCTGGGTGCTGTGGCTCATGCCTGTAATCCCAGCAATTTGGGAGGCTGAGGCGGGTGGATCACTTGAGGTCAGGAGTTCGAGACCAGCCTGGCCAACATGGTAAAACCCCGTCTCTACTAAAAATACAAATATTAGCTGGGCGTGGTGGCGGGCGCCTGTAATCCCAGCTACTTGGGAGGCCGAGGCAGAATCACTTGAACCTGGGAGGCAAAGGTTGGAGTGAGCCAAGATCATGCCATTGCACTCCAGCCTGAGTGACAGAGTGAGACTCCATCTCAAAAGAAAAAAAAAAACAACTCATGAAATTAAGTGAAAAAAGCTAGCCATAAAATTATTTGGTTCTACTCTCATCTTAAATAGTTTAAATACACAGATATACAAATAGCAAAAATATATACATACACACAAATGCAAAAAGGAAACAGGAAAACACATGAAAACATCAACAGTTGTCTCTGAGCAGCAGGATCCGTAAGTTCTACAAGTAATTTCAAAGCACCTACTCTGTGCCAGGTCTTTTCTAGGGTCTGGGAATATGTCAGTGAATTAAACAAATGCCCTGCCCTCTAGAGAGAGACATACCACAAAAAGAAATAAAGATGGAACATAAACTCAGAAAATATCATGAAAATCAAGTAGGGTAAGAGGGTACTGATGGAGGTGGTACTTTACACTAGTTGGTACGGGAAAGACTCTGATAAGACATATGAGCAAAGATCTGAAAGAAGTAAGCAAGCAAGTCTGTGGTTAACTAGGGAAGGAGCAGTCAAGGTGGAGAGCAAACGTCTAAGGTAGAAGTGCTTAACGTCTGTGGAATGGCAAGGAGGCCAAGGTGCCTGGAGCCGAGAGCCAGGGCAAAGAGAGAGGAATGAAGCTGGAAAGTCAATCAGGTGGCATACCTGTGGAACCTTTATAGGTAAAGATTCTGGGAAATCAATGGGGTGTGGAGAGCAGGGAAGTAGAATGATCTGATTAAACTGATCTGATTAAACTGTATATTAAAGTAGAATGATCTGATTAAATTTTGGCTGCTGTATTGAAACAGGCTATAGCTATAGGAGATTACAAAAGATTTTCAATTTCTTCTTAATACTTTGATCTATTTTTCTCAATTTTCTACAGCAAATATACATTATATCAAGAAGACGAATCATAAAACCATGCTGTTTTTGCATTTAAAATTTAGTGTAGTTATTCAGGAAGATTCTAGTTCAATACAAGGTTAACAAATATGGTTAAAATGAAATCACAATTTCATATAGCTGAGAAAGCAAACATCAATGCAAGATATTATCTTAGTTTCTTTATCACATAGAAAGGTGATAAAGAAATGAATGGTGGCTCAGGCCTGTAATTCCAGCACTTTGGGAGGCTGAGACGAGCAGGATCACTTGAGCCCAAGAGTTCCAGACAAGCCTGGCCAACATGACGAAACCCTGTTTCTACTAAAAATACACTTACTTCTCACATTACCAAAAGCATGCTAGTCACCTCTGCAAAACCTTGCAGTATGTTAAAACTGCATTTATAATCCCAATAAGCTAATTTAAAAAACCATTTTATGACTGAAATAAAAACTTACCCTTTATTGAGTACTAGGCTTTCCTCTTCGGCTTCTGAAAGTATAATCACCTTAGTGGGTGTCTGGGGCTCACGTAGCGAGTAAATTCTAGCAACCAAAAGAGAAGAAAACCAGCACTTAAAATTCTCTTTTCGTTTCCCAAAACTGCACTTTCCTCTCCATCTAGTCAGTTCTTGAGAATTTTCCCACCACTTATCACAACTATTTCTTTGCAAAAATCTTGCTGTTGCAAAGTAGTCTACTTCATTTATTGTTTAACTACATGAGGGAGGTTTCACTGGGACCTGAAGAAATGTTCTCTATCCTTACCAATATTCTTTAACAGCCTATTCCATACCACTGCACCTCTGTCACTTCCGTCCTGAGCCCTTAGCTATACTCGCCTTGTCCAGTCATCTCACTATTGCCCCTAAGCTTGCCAGTTTTCCTTCAACTACACACATCTATCTCTGCCTATTAGACACCAAATCCCACCACAGAAAGAACCGTATCTTATTCTTTATATGCCAACTGGCTGACAGAGTGAGTGACATTTAGCCTGCAAATCTATTTATGTGTTTGTTCTATAAAAACCCAACATTGGCCGGGCACAGTGGCTCACACCTATAATCCTAGCACTTTGGGAGGCTGAGGTGCGCGGATCACTTGAGGTCAGGAGTTTGTGACCAGCCTGGCCAACATGGTGAAACCCTGTCTCTACTAAAAATACAAAAAATATTTGGGTGTGGTGGCACACACCTGTAATCCCAGCTGCTCGGGAGGCTGAGGCAAGAGAATGGCTTGAATCTGGGAGGTGGAGGTTGCAGAGAGCTGGAGGCTGGAGTGAGCCAAGATCATGCCACTGCACTCCAGCTTGGGTGACAGAGTGAGACTCCATTTAAAAAAAAAAAGAACCAAACAAACAAACCCAATATCATATCATCTCTATTTTCTCAAGGTAAAGTATGATACTGATTTTTTTTAACCAAAATTATTTTAAAGTAACCTATATTTCACAGCATATAAGGCTATTGTGAAAAAGGGAAAGAATTTTCAAAAGGCCAGTAATGTCATTTTAGAAATCCAATGTCCCTTACAATCACTTATTTTGTCTGACACCACTAAGAATTTTTAAACTTGGTTTCTTCTAATATCAATAAAATGCCACATTAAGTAGTTAATAAATGTTTTTCATGATAATTTGATCCATTTGAATACACATTTATTACAGTCTTCCTAGGTTCCTACAAGCGTTACTAACTTGAAAATACACATAAATACTAGACAATAATGTTGTATTGGGGAACAGTGAAAGAAAAAGAAAGTGTAACAGGGCATTCGGTGAAAATTTCCTTTTGCTCTGAAATTGCCCAAAATCTCCAAAGCTTAGGAAAACAGAAGTGTTAAGTACCACATATTTTAAAAAAGAACCTTCAATATCTGGGGCCAGACACTTCCTCTGGGGCTTAAGAACTATACCTACGTTATCTTCCCACCATCTCCTTTTCCATCATAGGATATAAAAGGAAGACTAAGAAGAGAGGATGTCAAAGAGTCCTTCGGAGTACAGTATAATGTTTGTGCTGGGAAGATTTTCCCTCCCCTCTTTCTCTGCCCTGAACTCCAAAGCCAAACGGGTGGGCAGGGAAGGCTCTAGGAAAGAGCCAGATGTGGAGGTACCTGTAACAAGGGAGACTGGTGCATTTCCTAGCTGAATGCCCCTTAGTCACTTAGTAGCTGTCTCAGTTATTAGATTGAAAAAACATAGCAATACACACATATCACGTTCAGTACCATCTACAGTTTCAGGCATTCACTGGGGGGTCTTGGAATATACACCCTGCAGATAAGGTATACTGTACCCCATCTTGAGAGAGGATTCAGGGCATAGAGAACTGACAGGAGCCAATGGGAGCCAGAGCTCCTCAGTGATGGGGAGAGCTGGAAGTTCAACACTGCCCTTCAACACACACACACACACACACACACACACACACACACACACACACCATCTATGCAGAGACTACCACATCAGCGGAGTTCACTGGTGACAGATGGAACGAGATTAAAACAAGATCAGGCATACTTCCCCATCACTACCAGTTTGGTAAGATCTCTACCTCACCTATCCCATTCCCCTACCCCACACTGAAGGAGTTAGATTTGGAGGAAGGAGGAGGCAGCCCATTCCTTACACTTCACCCTATGCTCCAAAGTGCTGGGATAAGAGGAAGAGTGAAAGAGCAGACCGCACACTCTCCAATCGCTTCTGATCCCACAAAACACAGGTCTGACCTACAAAAGGGCCAGGACATAGTTGTGAAATAGATTTGAGATCAAATAGCTTTTGAAATTTTTATTTTCTTTAGACAGGGTTTCACTCTGTTACCCAGTGGTATGATCATGGCTCACTGCAGCCTCAAACTCCTGGGCTCAAGCAATCTTCCTATCTCAGTCTCCTGAGTAGCTAGGACTACCGGCACATGCCATTATGCCCAGCTAATTTTTCTGCAGAGACAGGATCTCACTGCGTTGCCCACATTGGTCTCAAACTCAGGGGCTCAAGTGATCCTCCCACCTCGGCCTCCCAAAATGCTGGGATTACAGGTGTGAGCCACTGCAACTGGCCAAGATTAGAGTTTTAAACTGGACACACTGTTTTCATAACAAGAAGTAACAAGAAAGCTATGGGGATCTGTACAAGACACCATTAAGGGGGGAGCCGTTCAGCAGTGAAGGAAGATTTAGTAGAGCACAGTTAAAAGCAGTGATTAAGAAAAATAAAACTGAAGGTATCTGTACTTCTGCTGAGTCCTCCCAATTAACGATCCAGAAAGTTAACTGATAATATAGTAGAAATCTACATAGCATTAGGGCATTTAATAATAGAGTGCAAAGCTTAGAAGAGGCTTTAGAAACTATTGAATCAAACCTGCTCAACTTAAAAGATTGGAAACTGAGCCACCCCCATCCCTAAAAAGAAGCTCAAGATCTCAAAGATAACAGAAGAGGAGGTGGGACAAGAATTCAAATCTCTGAATTTATACTTATATTCTCTTTCTTTTATGCTACATTATCACCAAAAGGTGACATGATGAAAGAGTTTTGGAAAGATTATTCTAATGTGTCAGATTAGGAAAGGAGATACTTGGAGGCAGGAAGACTAGTTGAGAAGGAATAGTGGTAAGTAAGGCACGTAAGTTAGGGCAGTTAGGTGATTCTTATGATTGAGAATGGGTTACAACAGCCATCAGATAAAAGCAGACTCATTCAATGACTCACTTTGTTCTATGTTGAGCTGTTAACTGGCAAACAGAAACAGAGCTTTCCCACTTGCAAGGCTTCAAGAGAGAGAAAAATAAAATTTACCTTATTACGTTGTCTGATGTTAACAGCACTATGTGGGGATCCAGTATTTCACTTGGATACCATGCAGCATGCTTTAGAGTCAGAGAGGTAGAACTGGTGAAAAATCTCTCAGCAACTGGAGTGGTACTAAAATAAAGATAATAATTTTCCAAAACATTTTATACAACTTTGATGAAAAATCTTCTTTTTTTTTTTTTTTTTTGAGACGGAGTCTTGCTCTGTCTCCCAGGCTGGAGTGCAGTGGCCGGATCTCAGCTCATTGCAAGTTCCGCCTCCCGGGTCCACGCCATTCTCCTGCCTCAGCCTCCCGAGTAGCTGGGACTACAGGCACCCGCCACCTCACCCGGCTAGTTTTTTTTGTATTTTTTAGTAGAGACGGGGTTTCACCGTGTTAGCCAGGATGGTCTCGATCTCCTGACCTCATGATCCACCCGTCTCGGCCTCCCAAAGTGCTGGGATTACAGGCTTGAGCCACCGCGCCCGGCCGATGAAAAATCTTCTAAAGGAACTTCTTTTTTTTTTTTTTGAGATGGAGTTTCTCTCTTGTTGTCCAGGCTAGAGTTTAATGGCACAATCTTGGCTCACTGCAACCTCCGTCTACTGGGTTCAAGCGATTCTCCTGCCTCAGCCTCCCGAATAGCTGGAATTACAGGCACCTGCCATCACGCCCGGCTAATTGTTTGTTTTCAGTAGAGAGGGGGTTTCGCCATTGGTCAGGCTGGTCTCAAACTCCCGATCTCAGGTGATCTGCCCGCCTCGGCCTCCCAAAGTGCTGGAATTACAGGTGTGAGCCACCGTAAAAGGCCCTAAAGGAATTTCTATTTTAACACTCTTTGCTTCTCTTTCCTTCAAATGTATTTCCCTGAAATCATGCTGAGAGGGCATTCAAGGCATCTATTCAAACAATATCAAAGAATTGAAATAAAAATATCTTGTAAATTATAGCACATTGGCTGGGTGCGATGGCTCACACTTATCTTAGCACTTTGGGAGGCCAAGATGGGTGGATCACCTGAGGTCAGGAGTTTGAGATCAGCCTAGTCAACATAGTGAAACCTCGTCTCCACTAAAAATACAAGAATTAGGCAAGTGTGGTGGCGCGTGCCTGTATTCCCAGTTACCCATGAAGCTGAGGCAGGAGAATCGCTGGAACCCAGGAGGCGGAGGCCACAGTGAGCTGAGCTCGCACCACTGCACTCCAGCCTGGGCTGAGGAGGTTGCAGTGAGCTGAGATCATGCAACTGCACTCCAGCTTGGACTACAGAGCGAGACTCTGTCTCAAAATAAATAATTTATTTTAATAATTTAATTAAATTTTATTTATTTATTTATTTGAGATGAAGTCTCGCTCTGTGGCTCAAGCTGGAGTGCAGTGGTGCGATCTTGGCTCACTGCAACCTCCGCCTTCCGGGTTTAAGCAGTACTTGTGCCTTATCCTCTTGAGTAGCTAGGACTACAGGTGTGTGCCATCACACCCAGCTGATTTTTTGTATTTTAGTAGAGATGAGGTTTCACCATGTTGCCCAGGGTGGTCTCAAACTCCTGAGCTCAGGCAATCCACCCACCTGGGCCTCCCAAAGTGGTGGGATTACAGGCGTGAGCCACTGTGCCTGGCCTCAAATTATATAATATTTCATACATATATATACATTTTAGGATGGTTTGACTTAGGAATGATACATATTTTACACAGTACAAGTGTTTTCAGATATAGTATCTCATTTGATGCTTTTACTAACCCTGTTAGGAAATTACAAGGGCAGATATTATCAATCCTGTTTTTAAAACGAGGAAACAGAGACTTAGGAAATAAACAGTTTAAGGGGACTCAACTTATAAGTTGTGGAGCTAAAAGTAGTTTCTACCTTATACAGATGATCCCCAACTTTACAATGGGTTTACCAGTACATAATCCATCATAAATCGAGGAGCTCCTTATGACTTATGATGGGTTCATAATGTTGAAAAATCCTATGCTGAACCATCCTAAATCAGGGATCATCTGCTGTGCTGTCAGCAATGAATGCATTTTCAACTTACACTGGGTTTATCGGGACATGACCCAATCGTAAGTTGACAAGCATCTGTACTCTTTTGAGTAGATCTTTCAGATTCACTTTTCTGGATTTGTTGAAAAAGAAATTATATAAAAATAGGCCAGGTGCGGTGGCTCACACCTATAACCTCAACACTTTGGGAGGCTGAGGTGGGTGGATCACTTGAGGTCAGGAGTTCAAGACCAGCTTGGCCAACATGGTGAAACCCCATCTCTACTAAAAATACAAAAATTAGCTGGGTGTGGCAGCGCTTGCCTGTAATCCCAGTTACTCGGGAGGCTGATGCACGAGAATTACTTGAATCCAGGAGGCAGAGGTTGCAGTGAGCCGAGATTGTGCCACTGCACTTCAGCCTGAGTGACAGAGCAAGACTCCATCTCAAAAAAAAAAAAATATATATATACACACACATATATACACACACACATATATACACGCACATATATATATATATAAAATACTTACTTCTACCTAGTTGAAAGAATGGCCTAGCCTCCAATGAGAGAGCAATGTGGTACTTCAGGCAGAATAAAAGTACAATCAATCACACATATACTATAAACATTGGTAACACAGAAGCCAGTCTGCAGACCACGAGGAGTGCTCTAATGTTTCAAGAGCAGTATACTAAACATGCTTAAGAACCACTGGTCTTGAACAATTTTCTGTATATATAATAAATGATACAGATAAATACCATACAACTTACCTACAATTCACTGTTGATTTTCCACCTTCAAATTCAGAATTCTTCCCCCATCTCTTGGGTAATTCTAATACCATAAGTCCTTTTATTCCTATAAGTGCTACATGATGTTGTGTTGGACTTAACAAGACTTGATAGATTTCAAACAGGGGTGGATTTATGCAAAGCAATCTCTGAAAATTAAAGCAAACCAGTCAATATAGTTAGTTTTAATATAAATATGGATGGCAGTTACTTGAAATCACAGTAATAGTTTAGTTTACAACAATTATAGGATAATAAAACTCTGGGTAAGTGCTCACACTTGTACCATTACCTCATGTTTTTTTGAGATGGAGTCTTGCTCTGTCACCAGGCTGGAGTGCAGTGGTCCACTACTGGCTCACTGCAACCTCCGCCTCCCGGGTTCAAGCGATTCTCCTGCCTTAGCCTCCTGAGTAGCTGGGACTATAGGCGCACATCACCACGCCCAGGGAATTTTTGTATTTTTAGTATAGACGGGGGTTTCACCATGTTGGCCAGGATGGTCTCGATCTCTTGACTCATGATCACCTGCCTTGGCCTCCCAAAGTGCTGGGATTACAGGCGTGAGCCACCGCCCCCGGCCATGAAATTTTTTAAATCATCTAGATTGGAATGTTCCATAAAATGCATCAGATTTCCTTACCTTGATAAATAGAGACTACTACACGTAATGTTCCTTCTTATAATCAAGCTCCACCCTACTACTCCAGGTCTCAACTCTCCACCACTCTTCTGCTTGTACCTCACACTCCAAACAGATTAATTGGTATTTCTGTATTTCTGGGAAATCATCATGCTCTGCCATGCCTTTGTGTCTTTGTACAATTGTTTCTCTTCTTGCAATGCTTTTGATTTTTTTCTTTTTTAGCTAACAAGACTTACACATTCTTGGGAGATTCAGCTTCTATGCACTTTCTTCCCCAGAAAACATCCCTGATCTTCTGGCCAGGAATAAGTGCATATTTTCTGTTTTTTTTTTTTTCCTGAGAGAGTCACGCTCTGTCGCCCAGGCTGAAGTGCAGTGGTACGATTTCGACTTACTGTAACCTCTGCCTCCTGATTTTTAGTAGAGATGGGCCTCCTGGCCTCAACTGATCTGCCCACCTCAGTCTCCCAAAGCGCTGGGATTAAAGGCGTGAACCACTGCGCCTGGCCATCTTTTCTGTACATCAATGATATGCTCTGGATAATTCTATCATACTTATTATCATCCTACATTCTAATTGTCCTTTTTACTTGCTCATCCCACACAACTATGAATTACCTGAGATCTACATCTTTCCTCTCTGTATTCTTAGCATTCTGGCATACTGCTGACTCTCAACAGACGCTTAGTAGATAGACATAAACTCAGAATTAATAAGCAATGATAATTATTATATAATAGTAAAGAATGGCTTGAAGGCCAAGTACAGCGTCTCACACCTGTAATCCCAGTACTTTGAGAGGCTGAGGAAAGTTTGAGACCAGCCTGGGCAATACAGTGAGACCTCGTTTCTACAAAAACTGGGGGGAAAAAAGGGTGGCTTTAAGAGCTTCTGTAGCAAGCAGAATGCTGCTTTACCCATGAAGGCTTAATAACAGTGATCTTTTCATGAGATTCTGGTATGTTGTGTCAGCACCACATGTCCTCAAAATTCTCTTCTTCTCTTGGTTCTATTTGTTCTCCCATGACCATCTGTTTCTTTTCTTTCTACTTTCAGGAATATGTTATGAGACTGCCAAGGTATTGTTTATCTTTATGTATGAAGAATCACCCTAAGCCAAAATGCTTTTAGAACAGACACGACTGTTCTAAATACAGTATTTCAAATTGCTGATGTCTGTAATCCTGGTTTTGTTTTTGTTTTTTTAGTTGCCCTTTGCTGATTCTAATCAAATTATTTCTCCTTGTCTTTCCTTCTTTTCTCTATATTCAACCCCCATCTTCTTTCCGCTTGATTTTTCTAGTCAAACGCAAACCAAACAAAGGCCACCTTTCTTGTTACATATACAATTCAATCAATTTAGTTCATTCACAATAATCACAGTATTTCGGTTGCTGTTGTTGTTTTTAAAGTTACAACTCATGCTTTTTTTTTTTTTTTGAGATGGAGTCTTGCTTTGTCACCCAGGCTGGAGTGCAGTGGCAGCCCACTGCAGCCTTTACTGTAGGGGCTCAAGTGTCCTTCCCACCTCAGCTTCCAGAGGAGCTGGGACTACAGGTGTGCACCACCATGCCCAGCTAATTAAAAAGGTTTTTTTTTGTAGAGATGGGGGTTTCCTCCTGTTGCCCAGGCTGGTCTTGAACACCTGTTCCTGTGCTCACAAGATCCACCTGCCTCCACCTTGGCCTCCTAAAGTGCTGATTATAGGCTAGAGCCACTACACTCAGCTTACTCATGCTTTTAACATCCAAAGTTACAACTCATGATAAGCTGCTTTCTTCCCCATCTCTAAGGTTTTGAGATTCTGGAGGAGGGAAGGTTACCGAGAGTCACCAATATTTACTGAGAGCTTATAAATTCTGGGCACTCCAGCATTTTTGTATGCTGGACAACAATTTTGTAGCCTGAGGAACAGAGAAAGACCCCATCTCAAAAATAAAAAATAAAACAAATTTTTTAAAAATGAGAAGGGCAGACCCTGCCCCTGCCTTGGAGCTTACAGTCTAGAAAAAAAGACAGAGGCAGAGCGCCAAGGCTTACGGCTGGAATGCCAGCACTTTGGGAGGCCAAGGCGGGTGGATCACCTGAGGCCAGGAGTTCCAGATCAGCCTGGTCAACATGGTGAAACCCCGTCTCTACTAAAAATACAAAAAGCAGCCAGGTATGGTGGTGTGGGCCTGTAAACCCAACTACTCAAGAGGCTGAGGCAGGAGAATCGCTTGAATCCAGGAGGTGGAGGTTGCAGTTAGCTGAGATTGCACCACTGCACTCCAGCCTGGGCAATAGAGGGAGATCCTGTCTCAAAAAGAAAAGAAAAGGAAAAAAAAAAAAGGCCGGCGCAGTGGCTGACTGCCGGCAATCCCAACACTTTGGGAGGCCGAAACAAGTGGATCACGAGGTCAGGGCTTCGAGACCAGCCTGGCCAACATGGTGAAACCCCGCCTCTACTAAAAATACGAAAATTAGTCGGGCGTGGTGGTGGATGCCTGTAATACCAGCTACTCCAGAAGCTGAGGCAGGAGAATCGCTTGAAACCGGAAGGCAGAGGTTGCGGTGAGCCAAGATGGCGTCATTGCACTCCAGCCTGGGAAACAAGAGCCAATTCTGTCTCAAAAAAAAAAAAAAAAAAGTAATTATAAATAATTAAATTATAATTGTGTCAAATGCTACATAGCAGTATAAGATGTTATCGAAATACTGTGTGCTGAACATTTGGTAATTATTATTATTTTTTGAGACGGAGTGTTGCTCTGTTGCCCAGGCTGGAGTGCAGTGGCTAGATCTCAGCTCACTGCAGCCTCCGCCTCCCAGGTTCAAGAGATTCTCCTTCCTCGGGCACCCGAGTAGATGGATTACAGGTGCGCGCCACCACGCCTGGCTAATTTTTGTATTTTTAGTAGAGACGAGGTTTCACCATGTTGGCGAGGCTGGTCTCGATTTCCTGACTTCAGGTGATCCACCCGCCCAGGCCTCCCAAAGTGTTGGGATTACCGTCGTGAGCCACCGGGCCCGGCCTTGATAATTTTTAACTGAAACTGTTTAAGTAAGCAAACCGTAGACTCTTGCCCTATTTTCAAAATTGCAGAAGCATTGCTAGCGTCTTATTAAAATTAAGTCACTTCTCGGTAACAAGAGTTGGACCGGGCCCACAACAGATGTCATACCTTAGAATGAGTACCAAGCTCTTTACTTTTTAATCTTTAAGAGAATCTGTGTATTACAAACAAACATTTCCATAAACCAATATTTGATCACAGCAAGTGTGTAATACTTTCTGGATCACGCCCATTTTCACATGCTGTTGGCTAATCAAAAACAAAAATCCCAATTTGGGGTATGGCTTTATTTTCTAAAGCGGGCGTTGGGGGGTGGGGAGGAGAATTAACAGAGACTTTCTCCTCCATGTCAAGCATGAAACGTGGTGCTTTGAAACCTGCTACCTGACTTGCTGTGCCCAACCCAAGAGAAACTTACGATCTATGCCTATTGTAAGTGTCATGTCAGGGAACAGGTTTCTCCTGACCAAACTAAAAATAGCAACTCCGCCCACTCGTTCTCAATCCCTTCAGCCCCGCTTTGTTTATCTCCAGAGCACTCATCCATCACTAGTATTTTTATTGATTATTCCATGGTCCTTTCCTTCCTCCCAGATCTCCAGGCCATAAGCATGGAGAGAGCCTGAGTCCCCGCGACCGCGTAGGGCAGTGTCGGAGCCAATCCGCGGGAACGCCTGCCACGAGATGAAAAAACAGCCAAGAGGGGAAAGAACAAACTAGTTCAGATCCCCGTAAGGGTCACTTCCAGATCGGCCTGACAGTACCTGGTACCGGGACAGGGCGGGCTCTTCATCGCCGCCGCCGGGGCCCCGAAGGCGAACGACTAAGAAGGAGCTGTCTTCTGCGTCCCACAGGAAGAGCTCTCCGCCGAGGCCAAAGACCACGTTTCTCGTCAGCAACTGCGGCGGCGGCGACGAAGGCAACGACGAAGAAGCTGGTTTCTCAGCTTCGGCTGGACTCTGGTTTTTCAGTCCCTCCCGGAGCCGCAGGAACACGACGTGGTTAGGCAGCCAGGTCTGCCACAGCTCGCCGTCGCCCACTAGTCCTTCAGCGGCCGCCATCTTGGCCCAACTGCTCTTCTCACTCCAGTTGCTCAGCCCGCCGCTGAGCGCAGCCAATCCGCGGCCGTCCACTCACTGCTTCGGCCAATCATCGAGCAGGCGGCCCGGAAGCTCGAGAGGCTCGTGCCAGGGGAGGGGCGAGGGCGAGGCCAGCCCACCGGGCAGGGGCGTCGCCAAGGGACACCCAATCACCATTATTTCTGAAGCCCAAGGGGGCAGGACAAGAAGTCAGCGGAATGGTGATGCTACTGGAAGTCTAGCACCTGGGGAGAGACAGACTTGTGTATCTAATTGCCTATTGGACACCTCCATCTGGGTAAACCCAGGCATCCAGAACTTCCCCTCAAGACTTACCTCCCTCAATGCAGGTTGGGCTGGCCTCACACATTTCGCTTGGATGCCTAAATCTGTTTCCACGTGGGGCCGGCCGGTAATACAACACTTCCCAGAATACTCTGCGATCCAAGAGCAGTCTGCAGGCGGAAACTACAACTCCCAGGGGTCTGTGCGCGCCGTCAGGGGGCGGGGCTTGCGGCCTTGTCTCCCGGGGAGAGGAGATGGCGGAGTCTTTGAGGTCCCCCCGCCGCTCCTTGTACAAATTGGTGGGCTCGCCGCCTTGGAAAGAGACTTTCCGGCAGGTGGGTGTGGGGTTTGCGCCGTGGTCACTATCCCAGTCCGTCCCGGCGACCGCCGTCTTCCCTGCCTTCGCCTTAGCCCTGCTCGGTGGAGCAGGTGCCGGAGCGCTCCTGCTGTGGAAGCGGACCTCAAACCCAGGCCTCCTGACTGTAGAGTGTGGGATTAGCCCGGGTCGGCCCAGTCCTAGAAAGCCTTGTTTTTGGATTCGGTTTTGTTTTGAATTTAAAGTGTGGTCATTGGCCGGGCACGGTGGCTCACGCCTGTAATCCCAGCACTTTGGGAGGCCGAGACGGGCGGATCACGAGGTTAGGCGATCGAGACCATCCTGGCTAACACGGTGAAACCCCGTCTCTACTAAAAAATACAAAAAACTAGCCGGGCGAGGTGGCGGGCGCCTGTAGTCCCAGCTACTTGGGAGGCTGAGGCAGGAGAATGGCGTGAACCCGGGAGGCGGAGCTTTCAGTGAGCTGAGATCCGGCCACTGCACTCCAGCCTGGGCGAAAGAGCGAGACTCCGTCTCAAAAAAAAAAAAAAAAAAGTGTGGTCATGACATCACCCTTTGCACCTCTGCAGTAACACTATCTACTGTTGCTGCGGAGGTGGCCACCGAGAGAGGCACTTTGCCTACGTTCGTCTTGTGAGATAGAGATGATTTCTATTCTAGAGAGTAGTAAACCGAGGCTTAGAAGAGCGCTCCACTTCAGTTCTGGCCTCTTCTGAACACAGCGTGGTTGCTAGTAAGTAATGTCCAAGAAAGTAACCCGACGTAAGAAAGATAGCAGATATAGCAGAGTTTCTCAGCCTTGACAATGGACATTTTGAGGGAGATATTTACATGTTGTGGAGGGCTGTTTAAGCCACATCTCGGGCCTCTACCCACTAGATGCTAATAGTCCTATAACTAGAATTGTGACAACCAAAAATGTCTCCAAGCATTGCCAAATGTTCCTTGGGGGACAGAACCTCCCTGAGTTCAGAAACGCTGCTGTGCAGGAAGGCTGTTACCCAGCCATGTCTAGAGTAGCAAGAATTTGGAAGGAATATAAATGTTCTTTAATAGGACATTGGCTGCCGAGAGATTATGCACACAACCATTAAGGAAACTGGCAAGCTAGAATAAAAAATACGGTTATATGTAAATACATGCACAAAGCATTGTAATTTTATGTATCTCTACAGAGGAATATGCAAAAGTAACACTAGTTAGTATTATCGTTGAAATTTTGTGTCTATAAACTTTCTTTAATGTTTTCCCAACTACTGTAAGAGTGTTTTTTAAAAGTAGAAATGGTTTTTTTTTTTTTCCTCCCCATCTTGCTCTTTTTTCCCAGAGATGCCTGGAGAGAATGAGAAACAGCCGGGACAGGCTCCTAAACAGGTACCGCCAGGCTGGAAGCAGTCGGCCAGGGAATGCTCAGAACACCTTTCTAGTGCAAGAGGTGATGGAAGAAGAGTGGAATGCTTTGCAGTCAATGGAGAATTGTCCAGAAGACTTGGCTCAGGTCAGGCTGGGCTATGTGTTTTCAGGAGGACTCCACCAAGAACGGCTACTGTCCTTTTTTACTTGTTTACTTGAGTCCCCTAAACCCACCATTCCCCTACCCCCATTTAGAATTCAACAGTCTTTTTTTGTGTGTGTGAGACAGAGTCTCACTCTGGCGCCCAGGCTGGAGTGCAGTGGCGCTATCTGGGCACACTGCAAGCTTCGCCTCCCTGGTTCACGCCATTCTCCTGCCTCAGCCTCCCGAGTAGCTGGGACTACAGGCGCCTGCCACCACGCCCGGCTAATTTTTTGTATTTTCAGTAGAGACGGAGTTTCACTGTGTTAGCCAGGATGGTCTCGATCTCCTGACCTCGTGATCCACCTGCTTCCGCCTCCAAAAGTGCTGGGATTGCAGGCATGAGCCACTGCGCCCGGCCTAGAATTCAACAGCCTTTAACCCAGGCTTTTCTACCCTTAATGTTAGACTTGTCTAGATGAATTGTTGTGAAATACCAGACCGTAGATCTGCTCATCACTGCAACATCATCATTTATGAAACTAAAAAGAAAGAAATTTCATTTCTTGCCTCCACCCTTGGAAATTATAATTTAGTAGGCATAGGCTAGGAATCTCTTTCTTTCTCTCTCTCTCTTTTTTTTTTTTGTCTTGCTCTGTCACCCAGGCTGGAGTGCAGTGGCAAGATCTCGGCTCACTACAGCCTCCACCTCCTGGGTTCAAACGATTCTCCTGCCTCAGCCTCCCAAGTAGCTGGGATTATAGATGTGTGCCACCATGCCTGGCTAATCTTTTTTCTGTTTTTAGCTGGGATGGGGTTTCACCATGTTGGCCAGGCTGGTCTTGAACACCTGACCTCCAGTGATCTGCCCACCTCAGGAATCTCTTTCTAAAAAGGTCTCCAGAAACTTTCAGATTCTAGTCTCAGCCAGCGTTGGGAGCCATGTATGGGAAGGATACCATTTATAGTGTATCAGGAAGAGCACTGGATTCGAAGTCAGGAGTTCCAGAATTCGAATCCTGGTTTGGCTGTTGACTCTTAACTTCAGTCTGCCTCTTTGAGGTTTAGTTTTCACATTTATAAAATGAGAAGATCATGTTTTCAGCATTGTAAGCATTATGTAAGAAAATGAGAGCAACTGTTTGAAACTATCAACGCACTGTGTAATAACGATGCATTATTCAGTGGCTTCTATGTGTCCTACAATACACCAATGTTTGCCTTACATTACCACAATTAGTACTCACAGTAACCCTCTTAGATAGATTTTATTCCCACTTTACAGAGGCCGAAACTGAGATTTGCAGAGACTAGGAACTTTTCCTGTGATTACATAGCCTTGGAAGAATATGTACCTAACTCCTACCCTATATCGTCTCTCCAAAAGTGGGTACCATTATTTTGTCACTGGGTAGTTGGATCATTTGTTGACGACGTGTCAGCATGACAGCATTACCCCACTGTCAGTGTATTGTGCAGGAGGACTGGACTGATTCTATCCGGCAAATCTGGGTTCTTCAAGCCAGCCTCCAAGTATGAATCATTGTGGGGCTTGGTTGGTGATTAATACTTCAAATTTCTGATGCCTCCCCTTTCTCTTCCAGTTGGAGGAGCTGATAGACATGGCTGTGCTGGAGGAAATTCAACAGGAGCTGATCGACCAAGGTAACCCCTAGGAGTAGTCCTTCCTTACCTGTATTTAGCTACTCAAATGCTGTGACTTTTCCTCCAATCAGGATTAGTTCATAAGTCCCCTTTGTCTACCTCTATCGATCAAGTGTCCAAAAGGCTCTTTTTGTACTCTGACATCTTGGCTGTCTAGCTTCCCAATAATAAGGGTCTCCAGGGTGCTAGGCTTTGTGCTAAGAACTTCTCATTTAATGAATGCTGTTTTCTCCACGTGACTGCCCTGTAAGATAGTAGTAGTAGAACAGAAGGTGGTGTTCTCATGCAGGTCACACAGCTAGTAAGTGGAGGAGATGGGAAGCAAAATCAGTTGTGTGAATCCAGTTCTTGTGTTTCTTCTACCATCCTGCCTCTCTATTAATGGGTTAATAGTTCACTGAGGGTGGTGGCTTATGCCTCTAATCCCAGCACTTTGAGAGGCTTAGGCAGGAGTATTGCTTGAGGCCAGTTGAAGACCGTCATGGGCAACATAACAAGACCCTGTCTCTACAAAAGTAAAATAGTTAGCTGGGTGTGGTAGCACATACTTGTAGCTTCCCTCATCCAGAAGGCTTAGGCAGGAGGGCTTAGGCAGGAGGATCACTTGAACCCAAGAGTTTAAGGTTACAGTGAGCTATAATCGTACCACCTCACTCCAGCCTGGCCGACAGAGTGAGATCCTGTCTCTTAAAAAAATAAATACATAAAAAGTAAACCTGCCACTTTACAGGATACAGTGACAGTGCGTGGTCTGATCCCTTGCCCTATTCATTTCAAGTGCCACATTTTCTCTTAACTCCCCAGGGCCTGTGAGCATCCACTCCTTGAGGGAGGTGCCCATAGCACTGTGTAGAGAGCATAATTTTGTACTTTATATAGTTAAGTCATTTTTTCCATGTAGCCCTGATTTGATTTGGTCTGTGCCACACAAATTAAAGTGGTAAAGCCAAGTGAATCTTAGAGGTATGACTCAAGGGTTTGAGCTCTTGCCTTATCATAACAATAGCTGTTGATTACTGAAAGGTCTCTATATGCCAGGCAATGCACTAAGTCTTTTTTTTTTCTTTTATTTTCTTTTTTTTTGAGACACGGTTGCTGCCCAAGCTAGAATGCAGTGGTGTGATCACAGCCCACTGCCGCCTTGACCGCCTGGGCTCAAGCGATCTTCCCACCTCAGCCTTCTGAATAGCTGGGATCATAGACGTGTGCCACCTCCCCTGGCTAATTTTTTTTATTAACCTTTTTTTTTTTTTTTTTAAGCCAAAGGTGATTAAAACAAGACAAAAAATTATTTATGTATTTATTTTTTTGAGACACGTTCTTGCTCTGTTGCCCAGACTGGAGTGCAGTGGTATGATCATGGCTCACTGTGGCTTCATCTTCCTAGGCTCAACCGATCCTCCCATCTCAGCCTCCCGAGTAGCTGGGACCACAGGTGTGCACCACCATGCCCAGCTAATTTTTTTTATTTTTTGTAGAGACAAGGTCTCACTATGTTGCCCAGGCTGGTCTCGAACTCCTCCCTGGTCTCATGTGATTCCCCCCACCTCAGCCTGCCAATGTTTTGAGATTACAGGCATGAGCCAACATGCCTATCCTAATTTTTTTTTATTTTTTGTAGAGACAGGGTCTCACTGTGTTGCCTAGGCTGGTCTCAAACACCTGGACTCAAACCATCTTCCTACTTTAGCCTCCCAAAGTGTTGGGATTATAGACATGTGGCATGGCCCCCGGCCTTAGGCTTCATTTTTATGACCTGTAAAATGGAGATAATACCTTATACATTTGTTGTAAGGCTTAAATAACATGTGTAGAAGACTTAGTGCATTGCCTGGCATATAGAGAACTTTCAGTAATCAACAGCTATTGTTATGATGAGGCAAGAGTGCAAACCCTTAAGTCATACCTCTAAGATTCACTTGGCTTTACCACTTTAATTTGTGTGGCACCGACCAAAGCACTTAATTTCCCTGTGCCTCAGTTTCTTCACCTTAGAAATAAGGATAATAGTGAAGAAGTTAATATATGTAAGGGACTTAAAATAGCATTTGACACATAAGTGCCATGCAAGTGTTAGTTGTTAATGACTGTTGCTGTTGACTCCAGTTAGACTGTAAATTCCTTATCATCTTTTTTTATTCATTTTCCCTTCCCCCCACCTACAAAACCTTTCTTAGTGGTGAAACATAAGCCTCACCAAATGCTTATTTTGCGGCATATTTAATAAATCTGAAGTGACAAAGATTTACTGCGTTGTGCTGTCCTCAGCCATAGGAACATTCTAAAGCAGAAGCTGGCAGACCTTTTGTGAAGAACCAGACAGCAAATACTTTAGACTTTACAGACCATGCGGTCTCTGGCACAACTCCTCAACTCCGCCGTTCTAGTGGAAAAGCCGTTATAGACACCACATCAACAAACAAGCATGACTGTAGTGTTCTGACCCCTTCCCTAATGTCTAGACTGTGAGCTCAATAAGGGCAGGACGGTTTTTTCATCTTTGTGCCCCTGTGACTAGCACATACTAGGTACTGTTGTATGTTTGCTGAATGAATGAGCACACAGATTCTGAACAACACAGATTCCAAGTATGTGGACATACTTGGAAAGCAGATCTCTTTTGACTCAGCAGGGTCGTCCTGGCATCAGAAATCAGTTCTCTCTTTTTTTTTTTTGACACAGAATCTCGCTTTGTTGCTCAGGCTGGAGTGCAGTGGCGCAATCTCAGCTCACTGCAACCTCCGCCTCCCGGGTTCAAGTGATTCTCCTGCCTCAGCCTCCCGAGTAGCTGGGATTACAGGCATGCACCACATGCCGGGCTAATTTTTTGTATTTGTTAGTAGAGCTGAGGTTTCACCATGTTGGCCAGGCTGGTTTCGAACTCCTGACCTCAAGCCTGCCTCAGCCTCCCAAAGTGCTGGGATTACAGGCGTGAGCCACCTCGTCTGGCCAGCAATCAGTTCTCTTTGTCAGCTTTCCTTAGTTGCCTATGGGACCCTGTCATTCCCTATCTGTGCTCCTATGATCTCTGGAGATGTGTGTGAAAATTGTCTCCTTGGTCTTCAGCCTGCTTTACCTCTTATGCTCACAAAAAGGGGACAGAGAGGAGGGAGAGGGATCTAGCAAGATGAAGCCAGCCTGAGAGAGCAGTAAAAACCAGTGATGGCTATTGTGGTTTTGCCCAAATCTTTCCCTTGTGTGAAGGAAGCCTTTGGCAGTGAAGCTTAGAATTAAATACAGGGCAAGCTGAAGCACGGTGAAGCACTCCAACTGCCTTTGCCTTGCAGAGCAGTCCATCATCCGCGAGTATGAGAAGAGCTTGCAGTTTGATGAAAAGTGTCTCAGCATCATGCTGGCTGAGTGGGAGGCAAACCCACTCGTCTGTCCTGTATGTACAAAGTAAGAGTTTTGAAAACCTTTTCAGCATTATTCGTTCCCATTCCCCACTCCAAGGTGAGTGGAATCTCCCCTGAGATTTGTTGCCTGAAAAGGTTTGGAGATCCAGTTCTGGTGGCCATGATGCTCTGGGATCCTAATTCTGCTTCTAGGTACAACCTGAGAATCACAAGCGGTGTGGTGGTGTGTCAGTGTGGCCTGTCCATCCCATCTCATGTGAGTGTTCCACACACAGATTTCATGATACTTTTTCCCACACGGATCTACTTTCTTGAAGATCCTCCAGCGCTGGCTCGGAGCCCATTGTGCATATTTCTTCCCAGTTTTATGTTCAGTGGTGTCACATTGGTAGCTTCAAATCGGCCATGGCGAGAATATCTGTGGCATGAAAATTGGCAAACAGTACACATCAGGGCCTTTAGGGCCCTGGAGAGCCACCACTGCTTAAGGTTTTTATGGAGACCTCAGCTTGGGATTGGAAATGCCTGTATCTGACGTTTCATAAAAATTTTCTATATATGAAGACATACCTAATTCAGAATTTAAGCTTTAGTAATCTTTTATTTATTTATTTATTTATTTATTTTTGAAACAGTCTTACTCTGTCACCCGGGCTGGAGTACAGTGGCATGATTTCGGCTCACTGCAACCTCTGCCTTGCGGATTCAAGTCATTCTCCTGCCTCAGCCTCTCAAGTAGCTGGGATTACAGGTGCCTGCCACCACGCCCGGCTAATTTTTTTTATTTTTTATTTTTAGTAGAGATGTGGTTTCACCATCTTGGCCAGGCTGGTCTCGAACTCCTGACCTTGTGATCCACCTGCCTCAGCCTCCCAAAGTGCCGGGATTACAGGCATCAGTCACTGTGCCCGGCCTTCAGTAATCTTAAAATACAGAAAGAGCCCTTTTATCTGGCATGATGGGGACTGCAAGTTTGCCAGTTAATTGAGCAATTGATTAAAGAGGCAAATTATAAAAATAAAATGTTTTATGGTAAGTTTCAAAAACATAAATTTATTTGCCAGCCTTTGAGTGGGGCCCTGCTGATTGGAGAGCTGAGTCACCTGTTTTATTTTTTATTTTATTTGAGATAGAATCTCACTCTGTCACCCAGGCTGGAGTGCAGTGGTGAGATCTCTGCTCACTGCAACCTCCGCCTCCCGAGTTCAAGCGAATCTCCTGTCTCAGCCTCCTGAGTAGCTGGGATTACAGGCACACGCCACGACACCTGGCTGATTTTTGTATTTTTAGTAGAGACGGGGTTTCACCATGTTGGTCACGCTGGTCTCGAACTCCTGACCTCAAGTGATCCACCCGCCTCGGCCTCCCGAAGTGTTGGGATTACAGATATGAGCCACTGTGCCTGGCCGAGTCATCTTTTTTACATAAACAACTCTTATAATACATAGTCCAGAGTTTACGATTTTAATTCTGTAAAGTGGATCAAGAAGCTGAGTATGCAACTTTGGAATTTTTCTCCCCCATCTTTTACCTAATTCTATAGCTCTTTTTCTTTCTTTCTTTTTTTATTTTTATTTTTTTTAAGCAGCTCATCTTTTTGAGTGTTTCCTAAACTTTCCACTTATAAAAATAAAACTTCATGGTTTTTCCCTTGTATTACTGATTTACATAATAAGTAATTAGCGTTACTGAGTTACAGTAGCAAGTTCAAGTAACTCAAGCAGACCTAGGAGCATACACTGCTAGTTGTTGGGAAGGATGCACTCAGCTGGTGGGGGCAGAGGCAGAGGGAGGCTGGAAAGTAGCCTACAGCCTCTGAGTGTTCTTTCTGCCATGAGTGGCCATCAGTGTGTTTTACAGCAGTAGAGGGCATTGGTTAATATGGAGAGGCAGTTAAATGGAGATTGGTTAAGAGATCTTGGCACAGTCATGGGCCCGAGTGTCTTTAAGGCTCCAAGGAATCAAGCTGTCACAGTGAGCCACAGTCCTATTGGTTGGCATGAGGAATGAGGATTTTTCCATCTGTTGGCTATCAAGTCACTGAGAGGAGGTTGAACTTTTTTATTTTTTAGTCTTCTGAGTTGACAGAGCAGAAGATTCGTGCCTGTTTAGAGGGTAGTATAAATGAGCACAGTGCGCACTGTCCCCACACACCTGAATTTTCAGTCACTGGAGGAACAGAAGAAAAGTCCAGTCTTCTCATGAGCTGTCTGGTAAGCCTCTCCTGGGACCCAGTCTGTGGTAAGAGGGGCCTGTGGTTGGTTTTATTCCTACCTCGATAGAAATAATGACCTAGAAACAGGTAAATGTTTAATGCAGTTTATTATCTGAGGAATTTACTTCATAGAAAAGTGAAGGTAACAAGTCATTTCGACTCAAAGGCCAGTCAGAAGGGAAGAGGCAGCATAGGATCATGGCAAGAGGATTGGTCTGGGAGTTAGGACGTGTGGCTCCACACCTTCTCCTGATAGATCAGCACGGTGGTTTTGGATTCAGCTGGTCATTTCATAGTCATAACACCCAAATAGGCCATGCTGGCATCACTTTTGCAGAAGGAAACAGGGCAGAAAGTATAGCAGGGCAGCCTTAGGTTTGTCTGTCAGTGGAATTTTCACAGAGGTCCAAGGGCTAGTCGCTAGCCTGAGTGACAACTGAGGTGTGAGGGCTGGGAACACAAGTGGGTATGGGAACCACCTGTCCTAGAAGCGTGCTATAGGAACCAGTATCTCTCATAATCCATGTAATCTATCTATATATATATGTGTACATGTGTGTATATAGATATCATACAAACACACATAAAACCGATATGATATATTTGCTTTTAGATCCCAGGCAGGGGGAGCCTTGGGATTAGGAGCACACTGTACTTTAGGAAGTTCATAGCCATGGCCTTCTACTGGGTGTTTATAGAGTTCTTTCATGGCCCTCTCTTCCAAACGCAGGTAACCTACAGGGGTCATTTTTATTATAAGCAACATTGCCTAGTAACAGCCATTTCACCTGTATCAGGTTTCTTCCATAGGTATTTAATTCTACTCATTCATTAAAAAAACAATGAATTGAGGGCTCATTAAAATTGAGAAATACACATCTCTCACGGAGCTCAAGCCTTGGATTGATAATAAGAGAACAGAATAAACAGGCAGTACCCTGGAGAGCTGTAGAGGGAGGGCTTATGGGAGTTCATAGGAGGGTGATCTCCTTTATGGTGACACCTTCCTGGAGGAGGCATTTAACTTGAAGCGTGGAATCGATCTGGACAGACATGGACATCTGGCCAGTTGTGGGGGTAGAGCTTAAGTGGAAGATCCCCACATAGAGGAACAAGGCAGAGAAGCAGAAAACTGTAGTGTAAACAAAGAGCATCTTATTCTACTTCGCTGGAGCATTAGGTTCATGAGGGAGAGGATAGTTCCTGTTAGATTCAGAGAAGTGATGTCATCTGGCCAAAATTTTACTACTAATAAGCGATAGAGCTGGTGTTAGACCCCAGGTCTTTGTGCCTCCAGTGCCCCTGCTGTTTCCTGCTCCAGGCTCCGGCCTTGGTGGAAGGAAGCCATTTTCCATCAGCTTGTGTGGAAAGAGACACAGCAGGTGAAAGTTTAAATAAAACAACTCACTACTTCCTGTTGACTACAGGCGTATGTTCCCTTCTGTTCCAGCTCTCCAGCACTGGTTGCAGATGCTCAAATATGCAGTGCTTTCAGGCCTCTGTGCTGTTCATGCTGTTCTGTCTGAATGCCTTTGACTCCTCCCACTACATTTAAGCATCATTTGCACAGATATTTATTGAGCACTACAATATGCCATGTACTTCATTCACCTGATTCCTCACAAGGAATTGGCCAGTCTCAGCCAGGCACAGTGGCTCACACCTGTAATCCCAGCACTTTGGGAGGCTGAGGTGGGCAGATCACCTGAGGTCAGGAGTTCAAGACCAGCCTGGCCAACATGGTGAAACCCCATCTGTACTAAAAATACAAAACTTAGCTGGGCATGGCGGTGGGTGCCTGTAATCCCAGCTACTCGGGAGGCTGGGGCAGGAGGAGAATTGCTTGAACCCAGGATGCGGAGGTTGCAGTGAGCTGAGATTGTGCTGCTGTACTCCAGCCTGGGACACAGAGTGAGACTCTGTCTCAAAAACAGAATTGGTGGCCGAGTGAGGTGAGTCACACCTGTAATCCCCACACTTTGGGAGGCTGAGGCGGGCAGACCATCTGAGGTCAGGAGTTCAAGACCAGCCTGGCCAATATGATGAAACCCTGTCTCTACTAAAAATACAAAAAAATTAGGTGTGGTGGCACATGCCTGTAATCCCAGCTACTCGGGAGGCTGAGGCAGGAGAATCGCTTGAACCCGGGAAGCAGAGGTTGCAGTGAGCGGAGATTACGCCACTGCTCTCCAGCCTGGGCAACAAGAGCGAAACTCCATCTCAAAAACCAAAAACCAAACAAAAAAAGAATTGGCCAGCCTGAGAAGTCTGTTCCTTTAGAGTCTGTGTTCCCTTTTTCAACAAACCTAATGAGGGCTGGCAGAGGGGAATTGGCCAGTGTCTCCTTGGGCTTCCACCATACCTCATGCCGTGTCATCCATAACAGTGCTGCAGTTACCTGCCCATATCTGTCCTTGAGGGCATGGCCCATATTTATTTCTACTCCCAGCGCTTGGCCTATATTAATAAATACATGCTTAATATGTTTGTACAGATGAGTTAAGGTGGAGGGAGGAGAGTTGAAGAGGGCACAGGTCAGCTGGCTTTGGCTTCTGTCTTAGTAAGGTGAACAGTGAGTCATCTACACAGATTATAATGGTAGCAGAGCTAGAGTCTACAGCTCCTCAAGTATGAAAGTCCCCTTGAGTGTGAAAGACCAAATGCTGGCGGGTGGACGAGAAGGGCAATTAAAGGGTAAGCGGAAGATTGCCTAATTGCCATGTGTACAGCTTCAGCTCAGCATATAATTATGGACCCCAGTTATCCACTCACCTAACCGTCAGTGTCCTGTGGCTCAGAGCAGCAGTGAAGCTAAGTGGGAGGTGAGGTTTGGAAGGTGAGGGCTGTGTAGCAGTCTTGGAGATCATAGTTGTCAGTGCTGGCTCTGGGGCGGGCAGGGAGACCATTGTTGGGTAAGTAAGGGGTGAGGGAGGCGGGGTTCACAGAAAACACGAGAAACACAGCCAGGCGCTGTGGTTCACACCTGTAATCCCAGCACTTAGGAAGGCTGAGGTGGATGGATCACTTGAGGCTAGGAATTCAAGACCAGCCTGGACAACATGGTGAAACCTGGTCTCTACTAAAAATACAAAAATTAGCTGGGCCTGGTGGCTCGCACCTGTACTCCCAGCTACTCAGTGGGAGGCTGAAGTGGGAGGATGGCTTGAGCTCAGGAGGTGGAGGTTGCAGTGAGCTGAGATGGCGCCATTGCGCTCCAGCCTGGGTGACAGCGAGATTGAGCCTCAAAAAAACAAACAAAAAACAAGAAACAGGAAGGGGAAAGACAAAATTGTATTCTGTAGGTTCCGAGTTCAACATTTGGAAAAGTAGACATTTGGAATGCTCTAGTTCCACTAGACCTTTGGTTTTCGCTTAAGGGGGACTCAAGGACCATTGTGTTAGAATTCAGTGAAGTCAGGATGTAGGGAGGCTCAGCACAGATGACTGAGGATGTGTTGGAAAATAGGGATGGGTTACAGAAGATGGCACTATATTACAAGACTTAGGAATATTTTGGATGTGACGGTGCTCAGGTGGTGGTCATGGGATAGAATATGCTAAACCACCTATTAGCAGGGTTATAGTGTCTTTTAGAGAAAGCCAAATATATTACCTGTGAAAGTGGTAAGAAACAAGGGTAACCTATTTATGCCTACTGTTTTGTTAGTGGAACGCTAAGCCTGGGGGAGTTATTGATCCCCTACTGCTCAAGGTCATCGCCGAGGTCTGATTTTTCACACAAAAAAATTGCAACCTCTGGCATAAATGGCTCAAGGACAGATGATTCCTTAGCATAGTGGAGGGGCTGAGCCACCAAGGAGTCGGGAGCCAGTTTTACACTTAGGTGCTTACTGATCATATTACAGATCGAGGGGAAGACATGTTTTCTGCCCGTACTGATCATGCATGGTTGGTACCTCCCCTGTGATACGTACCTGCTTCAATCTTGTGTAGACTTGGAGTCTCATCTTCCTGCTAGGCTCTAAAAGCTCCAAGCTACCAAGAGTTTGAATACAATCATACAATCTTTGTGGTCAGTAGTTTCCTGAGGTGAGGATGTTTGATTAGTTCATCTGCAGATTTGATCTTAGCTTGAAGACTGTTGGTGCTGACGGTTTCCAGACAGCTGTTTGAAGGCTGCAGGACAGAGGTCCAGCAAAGCCAAAGAGGGGCAGTCATCGGTGGCCTTCATGACAAATTACACGACCTAACTAATTCAAACTGGACTCAGGAGACCTCATCTAATGTGTAGCATTCTCATTGATTACAACTTTTAACGATGTATCACATGTCTTTCATGACTAGAATACAATTTAAGCTAATTCTTCTCCTGTTTAAACCTAGGCCTGTGATACCTGGGCTGTGATCCTCTAGAGCCAGCGTGGACTCACATCATTCTACGGTTTGAAGACCACTCACTCCCTGAGGAGCCTTGTACATACAAGCCTTTTATTTATAACTTATTTTGTATCGAAACTTTTAACCGATCCTGAAGGAAAAAAAACTTTTCCGACATCTCTGTTCTTGGTCTTTTGTGACGCAGGTTGAAGCGGGAGGAATAGAATAGATACACTGCTTTGGAGGAGATAAACCAATTTTATGTCTATCATGTTATACAAAAATCTAGAAATAATAGATTTGTACAGGAAAAATGATAATGAGAGCGCAAAACATATAATTTAAATTTGGTGTTTTTCCCCATGATATTAGGACGATAATCATTTCAAAGCACATGTCTAGCTTCAGAGTAGGACTTGTTCACTGGCCAGAGCCTGCCATGAAACTAAGGCTTTCAGCGTCTGTCTGCTCTACTGGCTCTTGACAAATCTCTTGAGGTCTTCAAGAAAACTAATGTACTCCTGGTGCTCCAGGGCTGTGCTGAGCTCCACCAACTCATCTGCAAAAGTGTTGTCCACCCCTCGGTCCGCAAGGAAATCCATTAGGTGGTCATATAAGGCCTGCAAAGAACAACATTTACTAGTTTAAAAACAAAAAAAAATCTGTAATGAACATTAAAATGTTTCTTTCTCCCCTTGAACTAGGACCCTTCCTTCCACGGCCCAAAAGGTTCCCCCATCTTATCAAGCACTCACCCAGTCCAAGGAATCTGTGTTGAGTGTGTAATTAGTATCCTTCCATTCAGACTCGCCACTGGACTGAAAGCTAACTTCCCTGATAGAGAAGATGTCACTCTCAGCCTCGTCTTCTTGTCCAACCTGAGAAGAAACAATATTTGGGGAAACTGAAGGGTTCTCCAGGATAAGCCAGACTCATGCGAAGGAAGGGGGCCGCTGACAGCATGAAACTGATCAGGTTTTAACCCTCTTCCCTCACTCCCCTCCCCTCTCCCCCTGCTGGGCTGGTCTAAGCTAGAAAGTCTTTATGCTAAAAGGGACAGGAAATTCCCAAGGGACACGCTGTGCTCCCCAGGGGTGCCAAGGGGCTAGCACTCCATCCTACATACCTCATCCTCTGGATAATGACAGTCCAGCACAAGGGCCTTCTTGCCATCATTCTTTATAACTTCAACCACGAAATTGGGAGTTGATGTCAGTTCAGGCTGGGAAAACAAGAAGTCAGTACATGCCACTGCTGGAAGGAGATGGATGCCTGGATCAAGGATCTCTGTTCAGATTTCTCAGAGCCACCATTAGGATGTTATGTAGCCATTTTAATAGTCTTATGCCATACTATTCCCAAAGGAAGAGCTTGATCTCACTTCTGTTGGCACCCTGCTTGTTTAAGTAACACACTGGATTTTCAATTAAGAAATCTGGATACCAGCCGCCTCAGCTATGTGCCAATTAACTGAGTTTATATCAGTTCCTTAACATTCCAAGCCTTTTCCTCCACCCATACACTGCAAAGCTTTCCTAAAGTTTCAAGATTCCAGCTTGACTGTTCCAGGAGTCTTCAAAAGGGACCAGGGTCAAAGGCTGGGGAACCTGGCCATCTTTATGGCTGAATAACAGCAGCAGCTTTTCCTCTGATGTGGAGCTCTGGGAGCAGACTGGGTCCAATGTCAGAGAGATGCTAGTTGGGGTTGCTGGGAAAGAAGCACACCAGAGAGCTGTGCCATCCACACCAGGTCATGACCCAACACTGTACTGATGGCTTTTGGGCAGAAGGTCTAGGGACTCTGTGGCCCTCGTACTGGCTGGTTACCAGGCTGGGCACAGCACTTCCTAAAATGTCTGAAGAGTAGGCATGATCCAGTTAAAGTCTCTTATGCCCCTGGCATTCTTTTTTTCTTCGAGGCAGAGTGTTGCTCTGTTGCCAGGCTGGAGTGCAGTGGTGTGATCTCGGCTCATCGCAACCTCCGCCTCCCGGGTTCAAGCAATTCTGCCTCAGCCTCCTGAGTAGCTGGGACTATAGGCGCCTGCCACCACACCCAACTAAGTTTTGTATTTTTAGTAGAGATGGGGTTTCACCATGTTGGCCAGGATGGTCTCGATCTCTTGACCTTGTGATCTGCCCATCTCGGACTCCCAAAGTGCTGGGATTACAGGCTTGAGCCACCACACCTAGCCTGCCCCTGGCATTCTTATCTTGGTTAAATGGCTGTTGTGTATTACCAGCTTGTGACTGATATGTTAGGAACATTCCACACATGCAAACACACCAAATGATAACCTCCAATATAAAAAATCTCCCCATAGGCCGGGCATGGTGGCTCACGCCCATAATCCCGGCACTTTGGGAGGCCAAGGTGGCTGGATCACTTGAGGTCAGGAGTTTGAGGCCAGCCTGGCAACCACGGTGAAACCCTGTCTCTACTAAAAATACAAAAATTAACCAGGTGTGGTGGCACATGTCTGTAATCCCAGCTACTGGGGAGGCTGAGGTAGGGGAATCGCTTGAACGTGGGAGGTGGAAGCTGCAGTGGGCAGAGATCGTGCCACTGCACTCCAGCCTGGGCAATGGAGCGAGACCTTCTCTCAAAAACAACAAAACTCCCTATCATGGGAAAGGCTGAGAACATTTCATTTCCTTTCCAGCCAAACCACTAAGCCTGAGCTGGCAGACAGCAACGTATTTTGCCCCTGGGAAAAGGAAGAGGGCCACAGTCCTGTTAAAGCTGGCCAGAAACCACTGATTCCTCCTGCCTCAGCCTCCTGCATAGCTGGAACCACAGTCGTGCCACCATGCCCAGCTAATTTGTTTTTTTTTAAACTTTCGTAGAGGCAGGGTCTTGCCATGTTACTCAGGCTGGTCCTCCTGGCCTCAAGGGATCTTTCTACCTTGCCCTCCCAAAGTGCTGGGATTCAGGCGTGAGCCACGCGCCTGGCCTTAGAGGAAAAAAAATTTTTTTTTTTTTAAAAGAGCAAAGAAAAACGCTCCTTCTTTAAGTCCCAGGGACAGCCTGTCAGAACTGAGGTAAAAGCTGATCATAGTGTTAAGCTTACCTCCTGTTCTTCAACCTTCTGCTTTTGCGTGGGTTCCTCCTCACCATCAAATGTTGGTGGGATGCTGTTGTTAATGTTGAAAGTGACAATGATTCTAAAAGGGCAAGAGAAAACATAACAGACAAGGCATCATTTTAACTGAGTAGGTTAACACACAAACAGGGAGGTCTGCTACAGTTACAAAGGTGTACTGAAACAATGTCTCTATCCTAGCTGGCTGAATTATATGCAGAACTTCAAACAAGGCTGGTACCTACATCCAGTCCTGAGTGATTCAGCAGGTCTCAAGTGTGCCTACCATGTACCAGCTGCTGGAAGCCAAAGCTGGCCTCAGCTTATCTCAGCCAAACAAGTCATGCATGGGTTACTCCCAACAGGGCCAGTACCCCAGGGCTCACTGCCATGTGTTGACTGGGCATCTCATGGCCACAGCCAGCTGACACTGCCCACCCTGGTCTTTCCAAGGAACCCTTGGTGAAAGTAAGGACCTGGGAGGCTGGTGAGATGGAACAGAAGCCCCTTTAAGAGCCTTTCCCCATAAGAAAATTTGCCCTGCAAGGAAAGGAAGAAGGAGCAATGGAGGGTTGCATCTGTTAAACACGGAGAGCAGCCCTGGCCTCGGGAAGGGGATGCCTCACAAAGAAAAAAACGGCTGTAGTAGACAGTCATCCTTCAGAGTACTTGTGGGAAGTTTTATCATCACAAAGCAGGCCAGAGACACCAACTAGCGACAATTTTAAGGTGCAAGAATCCACACCTGACAAATCATGTCCCAAAGTTTGAGTCAAAATTCCTGGGAGATAAAGTTTAGAACCAGAACTGCTGGACTATGCAACTCTGGCAGGCACCGTTCCATACAAGTTCCATGAAGTACCGCCCCCTCGACTTGTGCTAACTAGCTGCTTTGCCAGGAAGTCACCTTTCCATAGTAACAGAGGCAGTCTGAGGTTGACACAATCTGTCTGATTCCAACTGTGCTGACCAAGCTGAGCTCCTGGGCACAGAAATGGAATGATGTTCGTCAGAGCATTATTTTTAATGGCCCCCAAATAGCTATGAAAACCTTGTGCAAATGGTTTTTAGGTGAGATTACAGAAGACACAATTGACCTGTGTAGGGAAAAACCACACTACACAATAGCCAAGAGAATTGGTACCCTACTTCACATCATACTCAAAATGAATCACAGACCTCAACTAAGAGCTAAAACTAGAAAACTCTGAAAAAATTAAGGCATAAATCTTCACAACCTTGGGCGAGGCAGTGGTTTCTTAGATGTGACACTAAAAAAAGCACAAGCAACCAAAAAAATAGGTAAACTGAACTTCCTCAAAATCAGAAACTTTTGTGTCAGAGGGCATTACAAAGAAAGTGAAAAGAAAACCCACAAGATGGGGAACAATACTTGCAAATCATTAATTTGGTAAGATCACTATACCCAGAAAAACTAAAGAATTCTTTTTTTTTTGAGACAGAGTCTCACTCTGTCGCCCAGGCTGGAGTGCAGTGACGTCATCTCGGCTCACTGCAACCTCTGCCTCTGGGCTTCATGCCATTCTCCTGCCTCAGCCTCCTGAGTAGCTGGGACTACAGGCGCCCGCCACTACACCTGGCTAATTTTTTGTACTTTTAGTAGAGACAGGGTTTCACTGCATTACCCAGGATGGTCTTGATCTCCTGACCTTGTGATCCACCTGCCTCGGCCTCCCAAAGTGCTGGGATTAAAGGTGTGAGCCACCGTGCCCAGTCAAAACTAAAGAACTCTTACAACCCAACAATTAAAAATGTAAACAGGCTGGGCAGGGTGGCTCACACCTGTAATCACAGCACTCTGGGAGACCGAGGAGGGCGGATCACGAGGTCAGGAGTTTGAGACCAGCCTGGCCAACATGGCGAAACCCCATCTCTACTAAAAATACAAAAATTAACTGGACGCATGCCTGTAATCTCAGCTACTCAGGAGGCTGAAGCAGGAGAATTGTCCGAATCCGGGAGGCAGAGGCTGCAGTGAGCCAAGATCGTGCCACTGCACTCCATCCTGGGTAATAGCAAGACTCCGTGGGGTGGGGAGGAAGCTACAAATTGTATGATTCCATTTATATGAAATGTCCAAAAGAGGCAATCCATAAAGTAGCTTAGTGATTACCTGGGGTGGCTAGAGGGAGGAATAATGAGTGACTGCTAATAGGTATTGTTTGGGGATTGACAACAATGTTCTAGAATTAGGTAGTGGTAACCGATGCATAATTCTGTGAGGACTAAGAACCAC